GCACTCACAGTTGCAGGAGATGGAGGTCCTTTACATCTTGCAGGTAATATTCACATTGTTTGCTTAACCACTCCGAAGCACTCAGGGACTCTCCCCCCTGTGAAGGGCGCTATATAAATGCAAGTTGTGGTTGTGATGTGGTGCTATATCAAATGAAGAACTGCTATTTTATCCATGCTGCCACATTACCACTAATGCCGTGCTCCTTGATTTTTTTCAATCCTCTGATGCGGCACCTTATGAAACACCCTTTGAAAATCTATATGCATAACATCCACTGCATTCTGCTTATCAATGTGCTGTTATTCCTTCAAAGAACATTATTAAATTTGCGAGATATGATTTGCTTTTTACACATTGGGTGTCATTAATCAGCACATTCCTCTTCAAGTGTTTACTTATGTTATCCCATATTATGGCTTCCAGAAGTTTATACATTGCAGATGTGAGACTAAATGTTCTATCGTAATCCGGATGATGCCTTTCTCCCTTCTTGAACAGAGATGTTACTTTGGCAAGTTGTGTGGTACATCTTTCATTTCCAAGTATGTTTGAAAGGTTACATGAAAAAGCCTGTACTATTTCCTCTGTTATTTAAGACTGACTAGAATCACTGCTGTCACACAGCGGTCTGAAATCACCGACATTATACAGTGGTCTGCAGTTGGGCGAGACTGTGGAGAGATTTAAAGTTGAGAACAAGTATTGGGACTCAATCCAGGAGACGATTTGGAGCCAATGGAACTGGGGAGGATGGGGTGATAGGATTGTGGAGCTCTAAGATTATATTTGTGATGCTTAATGTTTTTAAGATTTAATTAATCTCATGAGGCATGGTGGGGCTTGTTGTCTCAAACGACTAGTTTAGCAGGAGTTCAAGATATCTTGGCTGGACCAGTTGAGGTCGGTTTCTGATAACATTCTCCTTTCCTCAAAGCTGAGAAACAATAATAATAATCCTTGCATTTGGTTTAGCTCTTGGTCAGGTCTTTGATACGTCTCAAAGCACTTCACAGAATATACTGTAAAGTGAATTGACTGTATATTTTGTGGGCGGAACGCAGCAGCCAATTGCGCACAGCAGCGTCCCACAAACAGTCGTGGATTGAAGTGACCAATTCATTATTATTCTTCTTCTCAAGGAATTATTACCCCCGGAAAAGCGATCCGCCCATCGACTAACAACCGGGTTCCTATTTACTGCTAGGTAAACAGAGGCGTGTGAAGTAAAGAAATTTGCCCAAGGTTTCGCGCTGCCGGGAATCAAACCCAGGTCTCTCGCTTGCGAGGCAAGTGCTCTAACCACTGAGCTACAGGACTCCCAACAACTCCCTAAAGATGTCTATCAGTTCTTTTCTCATGGGAAAATAGTCTCCTCAAGGTCACGAGCTGCTTGAGGATGAAGGAGGCTGCAGTTCCATTTTCTCAGAGGAAAAACTAGAGACTAGAGACGAAGGCAGGGAGGCTTGTGAGTCAGATTATGGAAGGAGAGGCAGAGGTAAAAACACCTAAAAGAAGTGACTTTGGAAAAGTCAAAGTCGTCGCAGAGTGTCAGTGCATTTCCCAGTGGAATCGTTATTGGTTTTACTGCATCTGGTCTCAGTTTCAAGAATAAGCTAAGCTATTTGCATTGCTTAACAAACTTTGGATTATTATAGCACCATATTGGTCGTCTCCATCCAAATCTTAAAGAGTCTGGTGTGGGGGTGGAAGGAGAAGCCATTGGTGGAGAGAAAATGGTGACGCTCGGTCAAGTAGGACTTGAGCCAGGAGAGTGTGGTCCCATTGGAGCGCAATGACAGAGGAGAGGTGATAGAGAAGGATGGCATAGTTGACTATGTCAAAGGTACCAGAGAGCACTAGGAGGAGAAGACGGCAGATGGAGTCCTGGTCACAGAGGGAATGGCATTTGTAACTTTAACTTAAGGTCTTGAACAGAGAATAGGGAAAGGTGTGAGTGAATGTGGAAGGTAATAATGCAAAACATTGGAAAGGAAGGGCATCTTGGAGATGGGCTAATAGTGCACGTGACTGGAGGTCTCAAGCGTGTTTTTTTTACAATGGAAAGAGATGATAACTGTAAGAAGACAATATCTGTCAACTCGGTTCAGTGGTAGAGCTCTGCCTGTGAGTCAGAAAGTTGTGGGTGAGTCACAGTCCACATTGACACTCAGTGGAGTACTGGGGAAACACTGGATTTCAGAGGTTCTGTCCTTTGGTTCAGATGTTAACTTGAGGTCCTGGTTACCTGTTTCGGTGGACGTTAAAGATCTCATGACACTATTCAAAAAGACAAGGGAGTTTTTCCCTGTGTCCTGACCAACAATCCCCCAAATAAAATTCATGGCTGTTTTGGGACATTGTCATGCATGAATTGGCCTTCCTCTTCAACCTTGCCTACGGTCACCTCCCTCCTACCCCCTGGCTCGGCGTCAAACTCCACCTCTATTAAGAGCACTGAAGGCGATATTTCAATGCAAGCTGTCATCATTGTTGCCTGCCCTAATGGCCTTTTTGAATAATCCCTTCAAAAATTAATAAAAATAATTTGGTCACTCAATCCACCGCTCTTTGCAAGACACTGCTGTACGCAATTGGCTGCCACGTTTCGCCCACAAATATACAGTCAATTCACTTTACAGTATATCCTGTGAAGCGCTTTGAGACGTCTCAAAGACATGATAAGGCACTATATCAAATGCAATTATTATTCATGTATAATAATCAGCATCTGTGGCCCACATTCTGGAACTCTATCCCACAATCCCTCCGACTCACCTCCTCTTGCCTCCTTGAAGTCCAATCTGAAGACCTTCCTCTTCGATCATGCATTCGGCCACCTTCCCACCCCCAACCCCCCTCCCTCCCTTTTGATCCCAACTCCTAGCTCAGGTCCAAAACAAGATTATCCAGTGCCCTGGGACGTCTTTCTGACCTGAAGGTCTTTGCTCGAGCTCTCTGCTGCCTTTGACACTGTGGACCACTCTATCCTCCTCCACTGTCTCTCCTCTCACCTCAACCTTCAAGGTTCTGTCCTTGAATGCTTCAGATCCTATCTCTCGCACAGAACTCCACTCTGTCTCCACAAATGGCTTCTCCTCCAGCCCCCACACTGTATCGTGTGGTGTTCCTCAGGGCTCTGTCCTCGGTCCTCTTCTCTTCAATCTATACATGCTTCCTCTTGGTGACATCATCTGTAGACATGGGGTCAACTTCCACATGTACGCGGATGACACCCAATTTCTCCCCCACATCTGTGCCATGACCCGCTCTGCCTTCCCCCCCACCTTCGCAACATTGCCCGACTCTGCCACTGCATCACCCCTCAGGCCGCTGAAACTCCCATACAACCAGGCTCGACTCTGCCAATGCCCTGCTTGCCGGCCTTCCCAACTCTTCCCTCCGCAAGCTACAGACAACAACAACAACAGAATTACATTTGTAAAGCATCTTTCACGTCGGGAGGACGTCCCAAGTTTCAAGGCTGTCCTACCTCTCCGACCTGCTAACCCCTTATCAACCTGTCCGCTCCCTCCACTCACCATCGGCGGCCGGGCCTTCAGCCTCTCTGCCCCCACCCTCTGGATCTCCATCCCACATTCCCTTTGCCTCGCTGCCTCCCTTAAGGCACGTCTCAAGACCCTCCACTTCAGCCACTCTCCGCCCTCCCTGATCCAACTTTTCCTCCCCACAACCCCCTCCCGCTCCGCTCGGGTCCTGATCCCTGACTGTTCAGCGCCTTTGGGACGTCCTCCCCACGCGAAAGGCGCTTTACCAATGTAATTTTATATTGCGTCCGTCACCTCCCGCTTGGCTTACTCCAACCCACTCCTCGCCGGTCTCCCCCAAACTCCACCTCATTCACAAGACCAACTCCTTCAAAACTCTGCCGCCCGCGTACTGACCCCGGACCAAACTCCGTCCCCCCCCCTCCGACCCCCCCCCCCACACATCTCACCAGTTCTGGCCCAGGGGCCTCCACCGGCTCCCCGTCACCGAACGGATCGACTTCAAGATCCCCTCACGCTCTCGTGTCCAAATCCCTTCACTCCCTGACACCTCCCTCCCTCTCCAACCTCCCCCGCCTCCCCCGCCCGACCTCCCGACCTCCCGACCCACCACCCGGTCGGCGCCTCCGCTCGACTGGCGCCGCCGGGGGCCTGACATCCTGCCCGTCCCTCGAGGCCCTCCGCCACAACCTGTCGGAGGGGCGGAGGGGGCTTTCAGGCACCACGCCCCCGAAACTCCGGAACCTTCTCCCGCTCCACCCCCTCTCGCTCTCTCCCTCTCTTTCTCTCTATCTCTCTCTCAAGTCCCGCCTGAAAACCTTACTCTGCGACCGTGGTTACGGCTCGGAGTCGGGCTCGGCCACGGTGAGGCGCCGCGAGGCGCTGCCCTGCGTGGAGGGCGCTGCACGAGGGAGTGCAAGTTGTTGTTGCTGCAGTCGCTGTTGTCGTCGTCGTCGTCGTCACCGGTCCCACGAGACGTCATGGGTGACGTCACAGCGGGCCCACCCAACCCGCTGCCCCGCCCCCCCCCAAAAAAGCGCTTTGATTGGCATCCCGAGTGACCAATTGGGAGAGAAGAGGCGACGGCGCGGCGGTCACGTCATGGCTCGGGGTGGCGCGAGGCAAGGCGACCAATCAGCGAAGACTTAAAAAAAAGGGGCGGGGGGAAAGGCGTGTGGCTCCTCCCAGTGCTTTTCGAAGGGAGCGGAAGGAAGTTGTAACGGCTCAAGCGCGCGCGCGCGCGCAGCGGCGGCGGCGTGGGGGAAAGGGGAACGGGCAAGCCCACGACCGGAAATGGCGTTGAGTGGCAGCTCAAGTAGCCAGTCGGAAGCCGCGACGGGCAAGACGTGACGTCGGGTGAACCAATAGGAGGGAGGGGGCGGGCCGTGGTGCGCGGCAGTTGGTCACGGCCGGGGCTCGAGCTCGGTCTCTTCACGTTGTGCGTTCGTTCGCTCGCTCGCTCGTGTGTCGCAGCCTCTCTCACCCGCCCGACCCCACCCCACCGCGCTGTCAGGCAGGCGACACAGCGAACGGCCCGCGTGAGCAGTGGCAGCCGCGGGGCGGGTCGGGTCGCGGTGTGTCGAGTTCTCAGGGCCCTCCCTCTCCCTCCCTCCCTCTCCCTCCGCCGACGTCGACCGGAGCCCCGCTCGCGTCTCCACTCGCCGGGGCCTTGGCCACCGCTGTGCAGTGCGGCAAAGTCCCGTCCCGTCCCGTCCCGCCCCCGCCCGGTCACCCGGAGGCGTCAAAAGCCTCGCCCAGGCCTGGCCAGGACAGGAGGAGGGAGGGAAGACTTGAGTGACCGGCACTGACTGGGACTGACTGACTGACTGACACTTGACTTGACTTGTCGCCGCCGTGAGTGAGGTCGGTGCCGCCCAGTCATCATGGGTAAGTCCAGCTGCTGCCACCGCCGCCGGGCCCTCGGGGGGGTGGTGGTGGTGGTGCTGCTGCTGAGGCTGAGCAGTTCCAACACTGGTGTCCGCAGCAGCACTGCTGGTCCAGGGAGGAGAGGAGGTTGTGTGTGTGTGTGTGTGTAGAAAGAGAGAGAGAGGAGAGCGTTGCATTGCTCCTCAGTCGAGGAGGGGTGGGGGTTGGGGGGGAGATGGCGTCCGTGCGCACAAATACAGGTCGTGCAACGCTCCTCCGTTCGCTTTTACTGATGTGTTTGGTTATTGAGCTAACGCGGGTTGCGTTCGTTTACTAGGTGTGGCTTGGCAGCCAGACACGGCAGCGCCGGGGTGGGGTGGGTGGGTGGGTGTCGGGGCTGGACCGTAGTTGCTCGAGTTTATAATCTGTGTCTTGTTGCCTTTCCTCCTCTCTCTCTCTCTCTCTCCCCCTCCCCCGGTGCCGTGCACGGTGCTCACTTCCTCCTGGTCGACAGCTTGCGCAAGATTGTCCCCCCCCCCCACCCCCGGGCGTGCCCACCCCCGGGCGTGCCAGTCACTCTCACCCCCGAGGAGGAGGAGGAGAAACCCGAATCTCCATCCAGATCGCCCCCGTCTCTAGTCTTCTGCGGCTGTTAATCAAACCGCTTGGCCGTTTTTTGTTTTTTTTTACTTAAAAAAAATTGCCGTTCAAACTTAACGTGTGTCATTCGTCTCGTATCTTCACGTCTTGGATGTTTTCGCCAGTCTGCACGAGCCGGTTGGTGTGATCGCCAAATACGGTTGCCCCCGGGGCAATTATTTATGAAAACCTTTGAACCGCATTGCTGAGTAAAACCCAGCCAAGTCGTGTGTGGCTTGTAGAGTAGGTGGATGAATAATCCTCTCAACATTATCCATTCAACTGTTAAAGGGATAATTGCTGACTGCGTGGAGAAGGTTACTTTTGCACGTACGATGTTTTTGAAATTCAGTTCTACGGGATGTCCATCTCATGGATGGACATTTCTTGCCGTGGTTTGGCAAAAAAAACGATTCGGACCATACTATGATATAAGTAGAATCACGTCTACCAAGAGTCGATGCATTTGTAGAATGTATGTCAGTCGAGGTAAGTAATAGCACATCGAGTCCAAAGGTTGGGAGTTCAAGCCTCGTGTAGAGTCTTTGAATTCAGTTTTTAGGTTGACACTCCAATGTGGTATTGGGGAGTGCTACACTGTTAGTGGTGCCATCCTTCAAATGAGATGTTAAACTATGGTCCTGTCTAATGATGGACGTGGATGTTGACAATCTCATTGCATTACTCAAACAGAAGGGACTTTCTCCTACTGTGGCCAACAGTTCCCCAGATAAAATTGATCATTCGCTTCACTTCATGGTTATTTGTGGAGCTTTTCTGTGCACAAAATTGGCTGTCATGTGCACTTACAAATACAATTGCTATACCTTACAGAAAACTGCGAGGTGCTTTGAGGTGTGTTGTGATAAAGTGTTATATCAACTACAAGGATTTGCTGGGTACTGTGTTTGAAATACCAACATAAATTTAAATTTCAGGAACTTTCCAACAATAAATTGCACTTGTAGAGCACCTTTCATGCAGGAAGATTTGTCTGAAATTACTTTGTAAAGACTGAGAGGAAGCCAGAGATAGGAGGGGTCGGGAGAGGATGTTGGACTGGCTTTGAAAGCAAAGGGATGAGTGAGATGCAGAGGTTTCAGAAGAATTCCAGAGAGCCGGGGAAACGTGTCTGAAAACTTGCCCGCTGAGGGTTGTGCGGGCGGGGGTATGAAGCAGGCTACACTTGGGTCCCAAGTGTTGGTAGAGGTCGGGTGGGACAAGGTCATGGAGGAATTTGTAGGTGTAGATGAAGATCTTGAAGTTGATCTACTAGGAATGGCCCTTATGGTCAGTTAACAAAATACATTTTCATGATTGAATATTCCTTGATTTATGCCATTGAGCGCAGACTTACCTAGCTAGACTCATGTGAATGTTTGAGCGAGAATGGAGGCGATTCTCTTGCAGAAACTACTGAATTGTGCGTTACTTATCGGCTGCAGAGTTCTGGATGGACTAGGGCTCATAGAGATAGATCTGAGCAGGCTGGTGAGCAGGGTGCTGGAAAAGTTGATTCTCGAAGTGACAAAAGTGTGGATGGGGATTCAGCTGTGCGTTTGGGATGTTAGAGATGAAGGGAATTGGATTTTATCAGAGCTTGAATTAAAGATTTAAAGGAGAGTTGAGGGTTGAACAAAATGTTGGAAGTTCTGCATAGGCTGGAATATTAAAAAAAGAACAGTCTAGTGGTTCTCTTTCAAAAATCAGCAGTATTTTTAGGATCTTTACCATTGAGAACAGCCTGCCACCTGCATTTGACAGCAGTTTTCTTAAAGCGAAACTCACAATAACTGTTTGACGCATTTCAAGAACTGAACAAGATGGTTTCACTTTTGTAAACGTGAACTGACTGAAGTTGAGGCTCGTGTGGAACTTGATACGTGACAGGCAGTGGGTCAAAACAGCAACGGTTTTGAAATCCAGGGTTGAATCGCAGAGGTAATTTTGTATCATTAATAATCATATGGAAACCAACCTGTCACCAAGTGGAAATGTACAGATGAGCTGCATATAGATAAGGTAGAGGAACAGGTACCTTGTTACATTGGATGGTGGAGTCCTGTAATTCAGTGGTTAGAGCACTCGCCTCGCAAGCGAGAGACCTGGGCTCAATTCCCAGCAGGGCGAAATGTTGGGCAAGCTTCCTTACTCCATACACCTCTGTTTACTTAGCAGTAAGTAGGAACCCGGTTGTTCATAGATTAGCGGGATCGCTTTTCCCGGGATGATAATCTTTTTTAAAAAAAATGATAATTTTGTCACTGAATCAAATGCAAGGATTATTATACTATATTATGGTCTGAATGAGAGCTTTATAATTTGGGGGATCCTTCTAGTCATCTAGCTACTTGAGATTTCCTTTGGAACTGTAACAACGGCTGCTTCAAAACATCTGTTTTGCAAGCGCATCTTCAGTGAACAGTGCTGTCAACAGAATCTAACCCTCTGGTCTAAAGGTCTTGGAAAGGACATAGGTGGTCCTTAGTCACTTAGTGGAAGAGGAAAATCACATTCTGAAGGAGGCTGTCAAAGCCCCCTCCCCCTTCATTACCATCATTAGTTGACTTACTGCCTCCAAGAACCCACATAGTTGACTGATTCGCTCTGTTGGACTGCTTTTGGTTTAGGTATTGGAACTGATCAGTGCTTCCCCACCTGTATTGTTAGTAAATGATGAAGTGTTTCTACTTCATTATTTACTTCAGCTATTGAATGCTGTGTTTGCCTACAGATACAGTAATTATACTTTACAGTAAATCATGTGAAGTGTTTTCAGATGTTTTGATGATTTAGTGAAATGTTATTTCAAATTTAAGGATTATTTGTACCTTTTTACTGCTGACTCACTGATAAGTGAATAGTCTTAATTTATCCTCTGTGGTCAAATTACATAGGAAATTGATATGTTGGTCATTTGTTTTCAAGCATGAATTAGTCTTGCTGGGTGTTTTTTTTAAATGTTTAGTTTGGGGAAGAATTTAATGCTTATCCATACAGATGAACCAAAATTGCTGAACAGTGGACTTGTAAATGGTTTTATGCTTTGTTGCAGCTGACTCAGAAGTTGTCATGTTGGTTAGTCATGAATGGTTGAAGTATGTTCCTGCACCAAAACTGCATTAAAAGCTTTTAACACAGATGTGTAGGATTTCTATGGAAATCCTCCTACTCTGTTCCTTTCTCCTCTTCCTCCCCCTCAATTCCCTGTATTCTACATCTGAGTATTTTTTTCTTTTGTATTCTAGCTAATTTGTCAGTGCTGCTGCCTTTATTTACTTCCTGGCACTTAAAAGTACTGTAGTGTGATGTATTAGTGCAAAGATGGTGTGAATTAATACTGCTGAGCAAACCTCTCCTGACAGAAAAAGACAGTTCATGTTGAGCAAAATTGACAAATGCATAATCTTCTCTTCAGGGAAAATGCTAGGGAACTTAGAAATCTTTGTGGGATAGGATTCTTATTTTTAAGCTAGAAGATAATTTTTAACAAGAATGAATGTTATCGAGTTTATATTCAAGTCCTTGTGTTTTAAGCCAAATTGGCTCGGCTTATTGTTACAACATTTTGGAGTTGGTGCTCTGTGAAAGCCACATCACCCCAGACTTCAATGTGTTTTCATACAGGTAGGTAAGGAAACCAACAGCGCTATAGCTGGCTAAATCTCAGTGCAACCGAGTGCACAGCCTCGACATCCGGTTCAATCCTCAGCTGTCTTTCCTACTCAGCATTCGGTCTTTTTCACCAAGGCTGCTTAACTCCACGTCTACCACATTGCCTGCCTTCGCCCCTGTATTGAACCAAATGCTGCCGAAACCCTCGCCCACTATTTTGTCACCTTCTGCCTTAAGTTCTCAAATCTGACCTGACTGATCAGTACGCAGTTGAGAAATCAGTTCTATCATTTGCAAGGTCCAGTTGATCCAGAACTCCACTGCCTAAATTTCACCCACACCAAATTCTGCATTCCCATTCCTCATCAAGCTTCACTGGCTCCTTGCCTCCAAATAGATTGATTTCAAGATCCTCATCTTCATATAAAACCCTTCAAATTCTCCCTACCACTAATCTGTTCGTATCTGATTCTCAGCAAACACAGGCCTGCTGCCATCCTTGTGGCTTGCTGCTGTCCCTCGCACCCGCTGCTTCACCATTAGTGGCTGAGCCTTCAGCATGATGCCCCTAACCTCTAGAACTTTTTGTCTCTATCCTACCACCTCACTCCTCTATCTCTAAATCTCACTTTGAAAACTATCTCTTTGACCGTGCCTATGGTCACCTTTTCCCCCACCTGCTTCTCCCTTACTCAATACCCTACCTCACCACTATGAAGGGTGCTGTTTAAATGATAATTGTGGAATTGTGTTTTTTATGCTGGGTCTTGCACTCCCTAAGGAATTTAAATCTTATTGTTGTATAAGGAACTATTACAGGATGCTGGGAGTATAGAATTGTAGAAATTTTTAAATGGGATTAAAAAATAAACCTAGAGCAGTACTTTAGGGTTGGCCAAGAGAACAAGAGGGCAATTCAGAAATTTCAAGGGGAAGATTAGAAGAAATGCTTCATTCAAAGTGTTATTGGATTGAACTTAATGTAATTTTTTGCTACAAGTGCCTATTGAGCTTGAGAGCATAATGTTCAAAAGGGAATTGGGAAGTATTTGAATAGGAAAAAATATGAGAAAATGAATTGGGATTAGAATGTATAGCTCCATTGGAGATCTTGCATCAGCATATATTCAACAGACAAAATCACCTCTTCTGTTTTCTGATTTTATAATTGCTTCCCAATGAAAAGAAAAACAATTCTGTGCCGGTATCTGCTTACCAGCATTCAACCTATTACTCTGCGAGGTGGTGATTGTAGACTTCTCAATCTTTCAAAATCGTGTGCAATTTATTTTTGCTGGATATTGGTGCAAGAGGATATTCTATGTGAGTTTCCTGTTCACCAAGAAACTATTGGTGCAAGAGGATATTCCATGTGAGTTTCCTGTTCACCAAGAAACTTGGAGGTTAATCCACCAATTTAGAACTCAAACCTGCTCTTGTTTGATTTCATTTGACAAACTTGTGACTATCCTGGGGGAAGAGGGGTCTCTTTGGGGTTGACCTGTCATCCAAGGTGAAGTGTTTAGCAAATGAACGCCTTCTGCGGCAGGCTTAGTCAACCTTTTGTGGCAGGCTCAGTGGTCCGAATCTTGAGCTGGGTGGGTCCGCAGTTCTCCAAGGCACTTCAGATAACAGACCAGTCAATTTGGCTTATTGGAATGAGCACACTATGCTACCACACACTTGCCAACCTGTGCTTAATACTCTCCAGAAATAGGTATGCTGGTGTGTCCCTCCAGGGATAGAGTCCAGGCCCAGAGAAATTTCCATATTTTCTTGCCATACTTGTGTGTAACATGGTAATGGGTTAATGTCAGACATCCAGCTAACCAGAAAATGTCATAGGATATTCAACGCTTTGGTTCGCTTTTTAACCCTCCCTGCTCTAGGAGAGAATTCTAATAATCTTGCATTTGATATAGTACCCATAATGTTAGGTTAACATTAACACTGCTTCTGCTGATTGTGTACTTGTAGGCAAACACAACAGATTCTGCATTTCACCATGAGATAAATGACCAAATTAACTAGCGGGAAAGAGTGTTTTAAGATGCTGGACTAGAACCAGTTTTCATCTAGTACACACAGGCATGCTAATCAGTTTTAGTTGTGCTTTGCGATTAAGATGATGTGTAGGTTCCAACTTAGCTGCCAGATGGCTGGTCAGTTTCACTTTTTTTTGCTGATGGTATGTACTCATAATGTTTGGAATGTGTGCTGTCTGAATATGATGAGTCCAATGAATGCTGAGATTCAAACTGTGTGGGATGCCAATTCTGATTATAAATAGTATGTATATAAATAGCCCCCAGCCCCCCCCCAAATTACTTGGCTAATTCATAACTCTTTTATTGTGATTGCTTCACAAATGTTTACTTTACACATTTGTGTTTTTGATGGTTCATGTTATCAAACCCAAAACTCTGGAATAGTTAAGCTAACGAATTTATTTAATCAAATATTTCTACCATAACAACAACTTTCACTTATATAGCGCCCCTCATGTGGGGTAGCGTCTTGGAGCGCTTGACACCAGCGGAGTCTGATCCCGAGCTAAGGGGAGAGGAAGGGGGGAGATCACCTTAAGCACGATCAAAAAGGAAAGTCTTTAGGCGGGATTTGAAAGTAGGGAGGGGGCAAGGCGGAGGGATTGAGGGAGGGAGTTCCAGAGCTTCAGGGCGTAGTGGCTGAAAGCACAGGCGCCGATGGTGGAGGGGACAAGGGACGCACAGGAAGCCGGAACCGGCCGAGCGGAGGCAACAGGTGGGGGAGTGGGGGATATCAAATCAGATAGGAAGGGAGGTGCAACGGCATGAAGGGATTTGGAAACGAGTGAGAGGATCTTGAAGTCGATCTGTTCGGTGATTGGGAGCCAGTGCAGCCTGGCAAGGACTGGTGTGATAAAACACAAAGCGCCCCAGGTGGCCTATTAATGGCTGTGAGGCATGAACCGCATCACTAGACTGTACACACCAGGAAGTCCCAGCCGCAAATCCTTTGAGTTGGTTGAAGTGCTACAATTTTCCTCTGCAGATAGAGGAAAATGCAGTCAGGATTTCTGCCCCTAATTGTGATCTATAAACTTCTGCTGATAGCCAGAGCCCTGAAATTCTATCAATATTTAAACTTTGAGATCATGATTTTTAAGGCTACGACCAGGTGGAACTTCAGGCGAGCATAGTGAATGTAGGATTGGCCTTTTGCAGTCAAATAGCCTGCTGACTCCATCAAAATTCATACATGAAAATTTTGTTGATGCGTACAGAATTATAACTGAGCAAAAAAGCTGAGAGTGGGGAGAGTCATTCATTAGAGAAGAGTCCTGTAGCTCTGTGTAGAGTCCTGTAGCTCAGTGGTTAGAGCACTCGCTTTGCAAGTGAGAGACCTGGGTTCAATTCCAGGCAGAGGGCGAAACCTTGGGCAAGTTTGCTTACTCCACACAGAGCCTGATAATAATCCCTCCAAAAACCAAAAACAATAATAAATTGGTCATTTTCAATCTACGACTGTTTGTGGGACATTGCTGTGCGCAATTGGCTGCCGCGTTTCGCCCACAACTATGCAGTCAATTCACTTTACAGTGTGTTCTGTGAAGCGCTTTGGGATGTCCTCCCGACTTGAAAAGCGCTATATCAAATGCAAGGATTATTATTATTAAGATGAAAATATGCTTTGTAAAAGAAAAAGTAGTGATGTGCTCTTAAGTTTAGTCTTTTAAAGAAAAATAGATAGTTTTAAGACATTTCAATTGAAAGACCAAAGCAAATATTGCTAGTAAATGCTTTTTTGTAAGTATTCTAAATTATCTTTATTGGTATTGGTTGAATTTTCATTTAAAATTTACATTTCAAAATTATTTTGTCAAGCCAGGTATCATTGATCCTTGTGGAATCCTATGACCATGCTTAAGAGTATCCAAACCAGTCAGGTTTCCACATTCGCATGGGTTACCTGCGCATGGAAATTTCTAGATGGAAGGAAATTTCCATGTGTATATGACGTACATATGTGGAACTCGTTCCAGCTTGAATATTCTCAAGTACGGTGATGGGTTTCTGCATGTCAAAGCTGGCTTACCAAAATCACATAAGTGCTGTACATTAACTCTATTGATATCTGTTGAATTTGCATTTCATTTTGTGTGTTTGTATAATTCAGTTTCTTTAAAGCTATTTGAATTGATTTATTGTTATTTTCTCAATCAGATAATCTAAGTGATGCCCTACAAAAACTGAAGCTGACAGCTGCTGACTGTGCATCAGATAGCATAGATGGGTGCCTGGACTGCTTGCTCCAAGCCCTGGCTCAAAACAGTGAGTGGATTTGAGTGTACCTTTGCATGCCAACTATATAACTGAACCAACTGCCGGTTAAAATAGCATTTATTATTCCAGTTATTCACTTCTTAATACGTGACAAGCGTGTGGCTTGCTGTGTGATATACACTAAACCCTGACTAGGCGGACCGATGGGAGGGGAGAGTGAGGCTGGATTGTTTAGCATTTTAAAATTGATCTCTTCCTTCTATCAGGTTTCCACTCGTACAATTATTTGTGTGGAAGAATTGTTGTTTTCCTAAAAAAAAATCATATCAAAGAATTTGAGGAATAAGCTGAAAGAAAATATTTTGGGGCAAAGGAATTTTTATCTCCGATTCTCCACTCTGGCTTGAATACATGCAATACTTCCATTGAAAGAATGACTCACAACATAAATTTTACCTTTAATTTTCTCTTGTGATTGTGATTATTTGCCACACGCAACTTAGAATCAAAAATATTGCAGCTGGTTCTGGATTACAACTTGATTAAATTACTCTTTGATTATAGTCCTTTTTAACTAATGTTTGGTACCATGTGACAACATTGTTGAAATTAAATTAAAATTTTTGAAGAGAGCAACCTTTCACTCCTAAGGGAGCAAATTATTTAAAAATAACTTTGAAATGTTGCTGCAGTGTGTCAAAGATTTAGTATTTGTAAGGTATAGTATGCTACTTAAACAGTTACTGATCTATAGTTATGATGTCATACTAACACATAAAAGTATAATCATCTATAATATGCATACATTACATTAAGTGGATCTGATCAATTAGCACTAGCATTCACTTACAAATCATCACTGCATTTTACAGTAAATTCTGTGAAGCAAAATTGCAATGTATTCACCGTGCTCCAGTTCAATTAGGTTGATAATTTTAGCTCTATCGCAGTTGGAGGTGCTGAGAATAAGTCGGGGAAAAAATGGTACAGCGAGAGAGAATATGTATGTTTAAAACAAACGCATCCTCCCCATAGATTTCGGATCCAGGCCATCAACCTGCTGAAAAATACAGTAACGGAAAGAGTTGAACTCAGTGAGTTTAGAATTTGGAGACTATTTTAGGTTATCTATCCATTTGGACACAACTTTTGCTTGGACACTGCCTCGTGTGAACATGCTGAGTCGGGGGTGTGGCATTCTGGGTCTTGCCTCTCTTTAAAGCGAACAAGGTGCAATGATGCATTCGATATAGCACCTTATCAGGTGGTCGAGACATCTTTAAGTGCTTCGCAGGAAATGCTGTAAAGTGCTACGATTTGTGGTTAGTGGGCCGATGCAGTGGAAGTGAGGTAGTAAACAGAGGAGGCAACTGCAGGGAGGGAGGTCACCAGTCTACATTGGCCCATTGCTGAGCCCCGTAGAAGCGGAATTGGCTTCAGAGTGGACATGTTGTTTGCCAAATCCTCTCACGGAAGGATCTGGATTAAGCAGCTGGTGCTGATTAAGCCTGGTAGGTGGCGTTAGACCTCAAACATCAATGTGGCTGTCATTTCAAGGTGCTTCCGGTGTCCGGTGGAAAGCTGATGAGCAAACTCTGAGGCTTGAGAGACAACCGTTGGAAGACGTTACCTGAAGACCAAATTCATGAATACACATTCAAATATCCAGGGCTTGGAATCCACCTTGATTATTTTATATGGAGATAAGCAGCCGCTGCTCAAGCACAGCACCACCGGTGGATCCATTGCTCGGTAGGGCAAGGGATGTGTGGACAAGTTATGGCCAGGAAGGTGGTAGCTATGCTTCACACATAAATGCTGAGCTGTGCTGCTCGTAAGGAAGCTCTTAGAGAATTTGTAGGTGGGGGGGAGAGAGGTAAGCGGTGTCTCCTAGGAACTGAACTGACTCCAAGGTGACATGCTTGGCAACACAATGTTGGAATTGTGTCAACCCTTTGTGTGATCTCAGCTGTCTGGCTCCCCAGTCAGGCAGATCCACATCTCTCGTATCACTTTTGGTGCAGCCTGACTTAGCGTTAGGACTTGGGAGGGGCAGACCTGGGATCGGGGATTCTTCTCCTTCAATTCCTGTTAATCCTACAAGACAGCTCTAACTGGACAAGCAGCAAGAATCTTGCTAAATAATGTACTCAAAGGCAAGCTATGCGGTTTTGGTTAGGCTGGACTCTTGCCAACCCGCATTTAACACTTTCTGGAATTGGGTAAGCAGTGCATGTCCTTCCAGGCAGAGGGTGTATGTTCTACTTCAAAATGCAGGAATTTCCATGTGTAGATGGCATGCATAGACCTCGGTTTGACTTGGATACTCTTTAAGCATGTTGGGTTTTTGCATGTGTCAGACACCAGGTTGATCAAAAAAGAAATGGGGTTTGTATCATTCCTAATATAAAGCATTAGGCTACAGTTTATATAAGATACTATAAATGGTGAGAACAGATTGAAGAATGACCAGAAGGTATTAAGATGAAGCTTAAAGGAGAAAACTTAAAGGGATAATCTTTTTTCAGTACAGGAATAGTTTGAGGATTTAAAAAGAAAATTCCAAATGAGTCTAGTTTGCATGCTGGAATTGTGAGTATTCTTGAAATGCTCTCAAATCATCTCGCAGTAATCTTTCAAGCGCAATTTGTTGCACGTGTAGAAGTTTATTTTTTAATAGATCAAGATGCATTTACTCATTTTTTTGAATCAAGGGTCCGTTAGTTAAAAGATTAGTTCACAAATTCAAACATCAAATCACCTTGTCAACCTGCAGCTATTCCCTGAGATTTGTCTTGTGATATTTGAAAGCAAGTCAGTTACTGCAGAAAGTCAGAATGCCTGTATGCATTGTTTTACTGTGTCTCATAACCTTGAACATATTTGAAAAATCGATGACTCGCAAATGAATTGTTAATCGTTATTTGCTATGGGTAAGACCTTTTTTCTGTGGGTCTGTTTGATTGCACCTGTTTTCATTTTTCATTGCTGTGCGTATTGCAGATGCAGAAACCAGTGCAAAGCTCCAAGAGAATGGATGCCTTCAAGTTTTCCCTCGTCTGCTGTCTCCACAGTCTTCATGTGCAGCGAAAGTAGCAAACGTCATAGCAGAAATAGCCAAAAATGGTGAGGTTTTCCACAGGAACTTTCTCTGCTGGAACATCTTCAGTTTTGCACCTCATCTGTCAGTATGTTTTTACTTCATTACGTTTTAATTTCTAGTATAGCAGGCATTTAATTATAACTTCGGATTTTCTGTGCAGGATATATTTTGTTGCCTAACTTGAGTATCTCGTATAGCAAAAACATTAAAGCTGCATTGTATCACACCACCATCAAACCATTTTTTTAAAAAAAACAATTTATTTTGACATATAGACAGTTATTATTATATGCTTTTGTTTGTGATTTGGCTATTTCAACCTGTAATGTTTACAATGCAAATTATCTTAACTGAGCGCATATAATAAGAATTATTGTACTCGCAACTTAAATTGGTCATGAATATTGGATTTGTATTTTGAGTTCATGTTCATTCATGTTTAACAAATTTTAGTTTATACAATTTCAGTTTGAAGAAACCCCAAAGCAACATATCTATATAGTCTCAACATTATTGATGACTTCTGATTTGATTTATGCATGTAAAGTAATTGATTTGATCAAAACCAGTTTCAGTTTACAAAGAAGCTCTCTGATACATTGCAACTTTCTTGGGATTTTAGTGTGTTGCAGTTTCAGTTTGCATGAAGGCTGCTGCGTCTCACTATCTGTAGCTTTTTATGTTCAGAGTGATAACCTCAGTAATGGATTGTAAAACATTGATGTTTCATTGCCATCATGTTAATACTATTAGAGTGATCAGTACAGTTTAACCACCGTAGTACTCAATGTTTTAGTGATGTGTGTAGTCATTTTAAAAATTAGGTCACATCAATCATGGATGTTTTTTGGTGCTTCATAATTCTATCATCTTTTTCGGCATACCATCCCCAAGCCACATAATAGAGTGATGAGGATTTTGCTTCTAGTCTTCCTTCGTAGTTCACTTCTGTATCTTTCAGAGCTGTCAGAAATTACTTACTCTTCAATTTTCTGTTCTTTGCTACAGAGATGAGAATGACTTTAAAGAGATTTAAAAGGCATAGGAATTGCCGGGTGGTTGTGAACTTGCAAACTGTCAATCTATGGCATAGGACAATTATGTGCTCAAACTGTGAAATTGATATTAAATCCAGGATTATAACATTTGAATACCAAGTTTAGGATTGTGAAATAAAATTACATTTATTCCCATGAAACCCTTCTTCAAAGTTAAATTTCTGAAATTCATGACAGCCAGGAAAGCCTTTCATGAACAATTGCATTGCTGCTATCCTTTGCTGATTTTTTTGTATTAATTATCCATTCTTTTATTTTTACTTTGTAATGAGATATTTTATTCAGTTTAACTTAGATTTTGCTTCACTTTTTATTTCTTTGCTTTCTCTCTGGATCTTCACATTCTAATTTCCAAGACTTCTTTCTTTTCTCTCTATTTGATATGTCACAAGATTACAATATGCTGAGACTAATTTTGGAATAAATAGAAAAATAGAAAAAGATCTTGATGCTTATTTCACTACTTTTGCTTCTTTTGTTCCCCATGATTCATTTCTTTGTATCTCACCTCCGTGTGCAGATACTAAGGCTTGTGCCTGGACTAGGAGCGGAGAACATTTCTGCTGATGTTGAAGCTCGGTACATTATGGATCCTTAACTTTTATTACGCTTCAAATTAACTTAACACAAACAAAATTCACTTCAGGTGTACTTGCTTTTTTTTCTTGATGTACTCAGCATGTTTACTACTTTAGGTTTTCCCCATAATCATTTCCAAATGAATTGGCTTCTGCGATTAGGTTATTGTATCTAATTCACTACAAGATATAATTTCTATTCATAGGCTTTTGGAGCATATCGGGGAAAAAAAAGTATCTGAAATGAATATTATCTGTTATGTTAGTTAATATGTAAAATTAAGACGGTATTGAAAGTGAATTTAGGTTTTCACTATGCTGCACAGTGTTAAAAAACATGAAAACAAAACTGTTTTTGGAGCAAGTTGAGAATGTAAATTTAGACATTGTAATGTTTACATTTTTTAAATGCAGTTTTCAAAGAAGAATTGTCATAAAATCCATTAGATCTTTGTATTCAAAAATTCTATAAGGCATATGAGAAGATGCATATTAATCGTTACACTACTGTGAAGGAGTTGGCTTGATGTGTTGTCCATCATGTTTACAGAATTCATGCGAAGTCCTTGTGTGGATGCAGCATTGATTCCACCTTTGGTTCAACTGTTGAACAGCAGAGATCAAGAAGTTCTTCTACAAACTGGCCGTGCCTTGGGGAACATTTGCTATGATAGCCGTAAGTCTAAAGTTTAGTGCATGGTGGTACTGGAACAGTGCTGTGCTGTGACCCACGTTCTGGGTTCTAAACAAATCCTGTTTACTATCAGGAAGCTAAAAATTGAATAATAATCAAACTTACAATTATATAATGCTATTTATGTAAAGAATGTCTTAAAGTGCTTAATGCTAAAACTGCTTAAATTTGACAGCAAATATTAGGGTAGTTTTCAATATGTAAAATTGTGTGAATTAATTTTACCCTCAAAATAAAACTGGAGACCAAGAGAATACATGGCTATATTTTGGATTTTATCCGGAATGTGTGTTCCAGCTCCAAGATCCATGTTTAGAAAGCAGTCTTGACTATAAACATACAGCTCCAGTTTGCCTTTTCTATCTTCCTTATTCCAGTGATGGGATGAAGTTCCCCATGATTATTTCTCTGTTGTTGCAGCAGCACACCTTTCAAAGATGCTACATGTTATCTTCTATCTCCTTTTCACGACTGGATGCTTTATAGTGCAACCCTACTGCAACAACTGATCCTATTTTAATCCTTAGTTCTGCCCCAGGAACTCTGTTTTAACCTTACTTCCTGAAATATCCTTTTGCTGTAAAACTGTAGCGAAGTCCAATACTCGCCACTAATAATGCCACCCCTTCTCTATCCCTTATGAAAAATCCGTTCATGTGCAGTGTTTTAAAGAAAAAGGTAAAATACATAGGTTATATACAATAATATTCATACTATTATGAAGAATCCATCTCGCTTTGATAAAACTGATCAGTGGACAAACCAGTTAACCACTTTATGGTAAAATTTATAAATCAAACCAGGATACAATTATGTAATTGGAAATGTAAAGCTTCCTCCCCCTAACCTGGCATTTTGAATTCTGCTGCACTAAATGAAAACGCCAAAACATCAGTTACCTTCAGCAGCATTGAACGTTAAACTCTCCCACTCTCCTTAGACACATAGTTGAATTTGTTTCTACACATCCCAATGTTTGCATATTTCCATTACATCTTAATTTTTTTCTAGAAGTATTATTACTGTTTTAGGCATCTGAGTTTATATATACCTTAAAGTGATGAGATTTATTTATTCCAACCAATTCTATACACCATAACAGGATGCCTATGAATATCTCCGTGGAGACTGAAATGTTTAAAATGTGCTACTCTCTGCTTTCTAATGATGTTTTTTTGGTAGATAATTATGATTCTACTTGATTAATTGTATATTTATATTTGTGAAATGCTCTGGTTTAACAAATTCGTTACAGCAAAAATGTTTCATGTTAAAATGTCACACTGTGTTTCCAGGTACAAGATAATGGAGATGCACACTCCCTACTGTAATTGTGTGGGAAAATACTAATACCCATTTGTTTAACACTAAACTGTGTGTTGAGCACTGTTACATATGTAATGTATGTGTAAATACTCAGTCATGCCAGAAAATAAGATGGCATAAGCTTGGGAGTAACTGTTTTTGTGTTTTTTTTAAGTTGAATGTAGCAATGTTTTTGAAGTGACGGGTTCTGAACTTCTTAACTTAAGATCGTCCCCATGCCCTTTTATATTTCTTCTTTTCAGATATTTAGCTAATTCCCATTTACAGGCAAGCCAGGAACTTGGAATATATTTGCTGAACCAAATTTCCTCTCATCCATTTAATCAGCAGTCGTAATAAATTTTCACAAGATTGGTGAAGTACAATTGTTTTCTGAAGGAGACCTGGAATTTATTGTAGATAGTCGTCATGAAACATTAGTAGAGGACAGAATATACCAAAATATTTACTAGGGTTCAAAGCTAAAACTTATGCAATATTTTTTAGTGAGTAGCTGAGCCAATAGACCAAGAAAGTTTTAGATTCGATCCCCTGATTTTGGAGTCTCAGCCCGAATGACGATGGCGGCAACACAATTGGTCTCCACACTCTCTAGTTAAGGGAGGGAAATTCGTGCAAGGTTTTTGCTCCAATCACCATCCAGCAGCCCTCCCCAAGTACGTATGCATAGACGCTGGATAAGATCTGATGTTCATCTGTGATCCCTGCCCCACCAGTGCAGGCATTATCTGAGCAGGGAAATATCACTGCTGACTGATGATTGGCTTTCATTAAAATCCATGGAGTTGCTCTGGGAACACCTGTACTGTTCATCACTGGAGAAGCTGGGGGGGGGGAGGGAGAGCAGCGGGAGAGAAGAGCTCAGTTCTCTGTACAAAACTGCAGGTAGTTATTTTTAGCAGAAATGTGTTGTACTGAAAATACTCCCAATAGCCTTTGTTTCTTTTTAACATGTAAAAGTATTAACGTGAAGATAAAGTATATATTGTTAATTATAATAGTAACTGCTCTGATCAGTGCAACGCTGAAACTCAAAACACTTTCAGTTCTAGGATGTGCACAGCCTCTTAGCAGTATGGCGCAGTAGTCTTTTATATGAGGCTGATTGGGAGGAGGAAATTCAATGTTAAATACAGTATTCATCTCCAAACCCCACATTGAACACAGACTAATCTAAATACATAACTAAATGCATCTATTTGTGGAAGCAATTAAATCATGATTATAAAATAACTCACTCATAATCCAGGTCATGTTCATCATACTTGTCCATTCCTGATTTAAGTTTTAACTTAAAGGATTTTTGGGTATCATTGAACTTTGATATGAGATATTTAATCTTGTTTTGATATTAATTAATTAATACTATTCTTGGTTCAATAATGCTGAAGCTTCTACCAGCAATGGTAATTACAGCAGCTCATAGGTTTGTGGGAGCTTCTGCCTGAATTTGTTACTCAGAGACTGTCTAAAAAAAAATCAATAAGTCAGTAATGCAAATAGTGTGTCTTCTAAGTGACTGATGAGGCCTCACTAAATATTATCATGGTCTTGTCTCCTTCGGAATAACTGGAATGAAACAAAGTTTAAAACGTGAAACTGAGAATGGCAATGCTGCCTCTTGAATATTATAATGTTAGCATAAGACAACCTGGTTGACATAAAGATTTTCCATTAATCTGTAACGGTGATGGTATCCAATTGCACAAGTTAGTTCTGGGCCCTATCAAAGACACCTAACCTAGAAAGCTTGCTTTGTTCCTACAAGCGCTTCCTCTAGAAGCATTATCAAATCAAGTAAATATATGGGAAGAAACTTAATTTTAATCTTAAATCCAAAAGGCCTCAAAATAAAGAGCACATAATCAACAGCACAATTGTTTCAAAACATACTTCTCGATGATAATTAATAAGCCATTTCAGTGCTATAATTCCCACAGATTTATTGTCCTTTGGTAACAGATATGTTATACCAGTTGCTTCGTTATGTTTAAAGGTAATATTCATGCCAAAATGTAAAAGATCTAAACCCATCAAGGCAAGTATTGTTTCCAAAGTTTAGTGTTTCATTTAAATGTATTCATGTACTCGTCCAGCAGAGGCAATGGGTGTATGAAGTTTTATTGTTACAATTTTTTTTCTAAGTAGTGTTTAGACGCATTTTAATTTTCTTTCAATGTATGCCTTGTTTGAAGTTACTTTTATGTTGTAGGTTTTTTTTAATTTAATTCTTTGTTTTCCAGATGAGGGCAGGAGTGCAGTTGACCAATCTGGTGGTGCACAGATAGTAGTTGACCACTTGCAGACAGTGTGCAGTAATATTGACGCAGCCAATCAGAAGCTCTTGACTGTCTTTTGTGGCTTCCTGTTGAACTATAGCAATGATAATGGTAAACTGAAAAGAAAAAATATGTTCGTAGCTTGCATATGTACATAATCTCTTAAGCAAACCTTATCCATAGTTAGTGTAATATAATCAGTTTTTAAATTTTAATTTTTTCCAGTATAAAGCCGTTAGCATGATCTATAGTATGTTGCGTCTTGTCCTCTTTCCCTTCCTTCTGCTCCTTTTTTGTAACTTCTTTGCTTTTTACCACCCTAAATAAGATCCTTGACTAGCCGTCATCAACACTCTTTGGAATACTGGCAGATAGTCTCCCATGGAAGTATGTATTTAAGTAACTTAAAGGATTTTAGGGAAATGCCTAATCATAATCCTTCGATTTGGACACAGAACAAAGATTAGATTAGCTAGATCTAATTAAAATTCCACCAAATTATTGAACAGTCGCGAGGTTTTCTGCACATTGTCCCAAGACACTTAATCTTTCTCTGGCTAACCTTGCTTTGCTTCATCTTGATATGGTCAGTGGATACTGTTGCAATACATTCACTGGTATAGGGAAATCTCATTATTGGTTGGGTTCAGTGTCCCTGCAGTCGTATTATAAGTGAGACTCAAAAGAATTGATTAACTTCCAGGTCATCCAGCTATTGCTAATGTTGCCGGGCACTTTCGCTCTGTGCAGGAATGCCACTGATGTAAGTGCCTGCACATGTGTGGCACACAGGAGGTGATGATGTCAGTAGCGATGTACCCACCTGGAAGTAGGCTTTTCTTTAGCATTGGAAAGTAGTTAGTGTTTTGGATTAGTGGGGTGTAGCCAGTGTTTCGGATTTTGGTGTACTTACAATATAAGACAGGCAGCACTATCTGGAAGGGCACTATAAAGTGTTTCCCTCTAGGATGTGTTTCATTAAATTTTTCCTAAATGCCATTTTGTTATGTTTTGAAATTCAAGCCATTCGTTTCTTATTTTTGCCTGCCCCCCTCCAAAAAAATTAATTCTCGTAGTTAGGTATTTTACAACTGCAGACGTATTGCATTGTATTATGTAATGTACTCGCATGTACAGAAAAAGTACATATTAAGTTCATATAGAAGCTGTACATTCAAACTATGACCTTTTTTCATTGTTTATTGGCTTATGAATTTAAAGATGTATTTTTTAAGCAGTCTTAGATGAATAGTTTATTATTTGGGACTGCTATGACTAGACTCGGTTGGTACGTAGAATGTAGGTTTTAGCAGCTACCCTTTAGGGGGAGGTAAGTGGAGTTTCTTTAGAGCAGAACTGGGTCCACGGTGATCTGCTACCCAAATGAATGTCAATCCCATGATGAACGTCAATGAGTAATGGTCTTGGTCATCCAGTTGCTGAGTCTGTCAGGTTTGCTGCATTCCAGGGCACTGCTGATGACAGGCCAGCCAGATTGCCTCTTTGTCAAGACTTGAAAGGGAAAACCAGTCATTGGGGTTTCCAGGAGTACCCCAATGCTCTTGCAATAAATACTTTTCAGAATTATGTAATGCGTCCCTCCAAGGGAAGGATGCGCATTCCAGACACGGGAAGATCTCTAAGTGTAGGTTGCATATATATGTGATCTGTCTGGTTTGGAAACACTTAAGTATGATGATGGGTTTCCTGATGTGTCAAATATGTGGATGACCAAGAAGAAATCTAGGTTTTTTTTTGCCAATTGAAGTTAGTAGCCACAGTTAAATGCATGCTAAACTTTAGTCATCTACAAAGATAACTAGCTTTTCCATTGAAGAATAGGATTACTTTCAATTGTTCTTTCTGGCCATCATGTAGACCTGTAGTGTAGTGGTTGGTGCACTCGCCTCGCAAGCAAGAGGACCTGGGTTCAATTCCCGGGTGGGGCGAAACCTTAGGCAAGTTTCCTTACTCCAATTGCCTCTGTAAGTCGGAGCCCGGTTGTTAGTTGATTAGCGGATCGCTTTCTGAGTGTAATAATCCCTCAAAAAAAAATGTGGTCACTTTGTGGGACACTGCTGGGCGCAATTGCCTGTCATGTTTCGCCCACAACACTCAGTCAATCCACTTTACCATATAGGTGCCTTGAGCCATCTCAATAACATGAAAAGGTGCTATATCAAATGCAAGTATTATATTCTATTATGTTATGTTATCCCACCGATGCTTGAGGTTGTAATCTATTTTTTACGCACCACTATAGGATAGGGCTACTAGTAAGTGCTGTCCTTTAGGTAAAACATTATAGCAAGGTTCCTTCTGCCTGTTCAGGTAAACGTTAATAGATTTAGATTGAAGAACGGCAAAGTGTTTTGCTCATTATTCTTTGCTCATCTAAATTTGATTCGCTGCAACATTTATTCGCATAATTGAAGTAACTCGTGCGAAGCTTTGAGACTTATTCAGCTACCTCATGTCAAATACAGTACAAGTATTTGCATATTTATGGTGCTTCTAAGTGCATTTATATTCTTTAATCGAGCACCATCATTAACTTCCCTCTCCCGATTTCTAAACAATGGCAGTACCCGTAGTCGACTGAAAGTGCTGCAAGCCACAATCTTGAATTTCTACTTAGTCCGGCTGTTATTAAATTGGAGCTGACTTTTCGTGTTTAAGGAAATAGATTTTAAGTTAAGTCGTTCAGTAATTCAACGTTGAAAGGAATAATATGAGAACCTTAAAGCTTCAGTAATCAGCTGGAATCTTTCTAGCCTGTGAGCCATCATTTTTTGAACTGCCCTCCCGAGGTGGTGCTTTTATGAAGTCTTGATGCACAGATCTAATTCCAGATGTGCACAATTTACTTGGATATTTGTTACAGGTGAAGAAAGAATGAGTTGAGCCAAATGGAAACCGTTGAATTGTCAGGTTTCCACTTTACCTTGTTGAGCTTTGTGACTTCTTTTGGTCATGACCCTGGACACTCTTGACACTCAATATTTAGTGTTCAAGCCAAAGTAACTGATAACTGACTAAAAACAAGCATGATGCTTTCAAAGGAACTTCCTTTTTTTTCGACTCAATAAATTTGTGACTTGGAATTAGAGAAACTAACTTTCCAATGCCACTATAGAAACCAAACTACTAAGATTATTTGAAAGCACCTTCATCCATAGTGTATTAACTGGACCCAATGAATGAAAATACTGTACCTTGTGTTTTTGTTGACAAACAACAAATTCATATTGGATTCACACAAGCATAAAGGGTGAATCGTATGAGATTTGACTTTACTCTCTAGATCCTTTGCATTCTTCACCGATGCATGGTATCCTGCTACTAGCTAGCATATGCTGTACCAAAATCGAAGTGAGACATACCAGATTGTATACATGTGCATGGGAATGAAAGATTTTTAATGGTATGCCCATGATGTGTAAACATGGGGTCAATTTTCAAAACGTCCTTTAAAATTGATTGCACCTGCATTACCTAAATCAGGCAGAGCTGTGAAAAATGTCAGTCAGACAATATATTAATTATAGTTATAGGTTTACAGATGATAAAAAATGTACGAAACCTGCAATTTTTCGAAATTATTTTATTTCCGCATCGAAATTAGTTTCCGATTTTCTTAACATGTACAAATTTCAGTGAAGCTGCCACAGTTTAAGTGCTGTTAAATCCTGGCAGGAATATTTAGCACAAGTGGTAAATGAGTGTGAGTGCTTGCAGGAATTCAACATCCACTAGCACAGGCAGCAATTAGCAAAAAAAAAACCTAAAATTTGGGAGCTTTGGTGGACTGTGTTTTACAACAACAAGATTACATTTGTATAGCGCCTTTCACGTCGAGAGGACGTTCCAAGGCGCTGGAGTCTTTAGCATTGGAGTCTGAATAAAATGGAGGATTGGCTTTGAGATCCTTGGGACATATATCTTCTATCAGCAGAATTCTGACGAGATTGTGAAGTCCTGTAGCTCAGTGGTTAGAGCGCTCACCTCGCAAGCGAGAGACCTGGGTTTAGATTCCCGGCAGAGCGAAATGTTGAACATGTTTCCTTACTCCACACACCCCAGCAGTAAGTAGGAACCCGGTTTTAGTCGATTGGCGGATCGCTTTTCCGGGGATGATAATACCTTTTTAAAAAAAAAACATTTTGGTCACTCAATCCACGACTGTTGTGAGACACTACTGTGTATAATTGGCTGCTGCGTTTCGCCCACAAAATATGCAGTCAATAGACTTTACAGCATATTCTGAAGCGCTTTGAGATGTCTCGAAGATGTGATAAGGTCCTATAATCAAATGCAAGGATTATTATTATAGATAAGTGATTATTTAATCCAAGAAACAATCAGTGAAAACTGCAGAAGTTGCTATACACCAATTGTTGCAGAGCTTGAAGTGGTCATAGAGGTTTTGAAAATTCTGTTATGTTGCACTTTTTGGGGGGCAAAAGTCATTGGATCCTGTGTAGCCTGCATATTTAAAAATGACATTCTTTGAAGTGGTGTCAGTCATCCCAAAAGATAACCTAGAAGACATGAGGGAAACTTACATTTGATGTTTGCAAGTTTGATGGGTATCCCCATAGGCTGAATAAATGTCCTTGCACTACCACTATGCAGACTGTCCTCTCTTTCAGCTATATACGTATATTTACTTCTGCACATAACCCCTGTTTTCTCATGTAACAGTACCTTTGAACTTATCAGATTCACCATGATTTTAATGTTCAGAGTCATCATATCTTTAACCATTCCTTCAACAGTGGTCTCTTCTTTCAATGCATTGCTTTCAGGCGATACTGTTTGCAGCCTTGTTTCTTTTCTTACTGTCTGATTGTGTATCATTTAAGGGATGCATCTTGTTCTTGAAGAATGCGTTAGACCTTTAAGATATTCTAAATTGTTAATTTCCCCAATGTTTTACAGATGGCCTGCAGACTCAGCTGATAAATATGGGTGTTATTCCCACTTTGGTGCAACTATTGGGTGTACATTCCCAGCACACAGCACTGACAGAAATGTGTTTGGTTGCCTTTGGTAACCTAGCAGAGATAGGTAAGCTGGGGATATCTTTTGAAGACACAGTAGGTTTGTTACTGCTCTTTGCAGAACACTGCCACTGTTTGGCCTCTGTTGATGGCTATATCCTACCAAAATCTATCCTTTTATAATGTGCCCTGAAAAAAGTCCAATTTAGAACAACTGAAGAATTGCAAAAAGAGGAGGTGGAGTATTATGTAGGAGGTGTTCCCCTTAGGTTTTCCTTTGGCTTTTAAGTGTACATTGATATTGTTTTACTTACAGCCAGTTATGCTTTTATAATGGCTTGTTATTTTTGCTCTTGCAGGAGAGCCTAAACATACAGTGTGATTATGAGGCAAATTGCTTTTATTAGTGAGTTGAAAAATATATTTCAAGGCGGGGTGGATTTTAGCATTCAGTTGTGAATTTAATCCACTCATTTTGTAGTTTTTCAAAAATAGTCACATTTAAATTGAATATTCAACAGAAGGCAAAGCTTTAAAAACTTAAGTAGGTAAAGCCTAAGATTACAAAAGAAATATTGTGAGTGAGTAAACTATATAATTGGGAATGCATTTTGCCAGTATTATCATGTTTGCTGTCCAGAAATGGTTCAGTTTAAACTTGGAAGTCTTTGCCTTTGTAAATATTCTATTTTCTCATTATCTTTTCTATAACTTTTTTAATATAGAGTCTAGCAAAGAGCAGTTTGCATCAACTAAGGTTGCAGATGAGCTTGTAAAACTATTCAAAAAACAAACTGAACATGAGAAGAAAGAAATGATTTTTGAAGTATTGGCTCCGTTAGCAGAACATGGTGAGTAATACTTGTGTGTAACTCACTTTACAATAACAATACTGTTTACATTAATATAATCACCTTTCACATCAGAAAGACGTCTCAAAGAGTTTGACACTGCTGGCTGGACACTCGAGCCGGGGCTTGGGAGTTGAAGAGGGTGACAATGGCTTGCAAATCCTATTGCCGGAAAGGACATGGACTGCAGAATATTGGATAGTCTGCAGCTTGTGTAGAGCAGAGCTGGGGCATCCAACATGCAAGGATTTGGAATAGTTACGTCTGAAAGTGATGAAAGCATGAGTGAGGAAAGGGGTAGTAGCAGAAGCAGGCAATGTTCCATGGATGAGGAAAGGCTGTGCAAGTCCAAATGTGAAACATGGTTGGGGGTCGAAAAGACATATTAAACCGAGACCAAGGTTTCACACTGGCTCTATGAGGTAGAATGAGCAGATTGATGCAATGTGAGAAGGTGCTGACGAGAACTAACAGGAGAGCCTTGGTCCTGTTGACATTCAACTGAAGGAAGTTTAACCAGGACTTGTCTAATGCGTCAGAACAGCAGTGGTCATAGAGTTGAAGGTAGAGGGAGAGTGAGGCGATCTCTTGATGTGAAAGCTGGTATACAAGTGCAAGTTGTTGTTTCATAGGCGATTTACTATTCTGAAAAGGCTTCATATTAATAGATAATAGCCAGGGAAAGGAATATACACCTTTTGAATACACCTAGATAAGAAAATTGGCTTAATAAAAAAACTGAGTGTAATCATAAATGGGAACTTTTCTGCCTGGAAATGGGTTGAGCTGAGTGCCTCAGACCTGGGTCTATTTTTATATAGCTTGGTCTATATAAATGGCATTGTGGGGAACAGACTGGTGTATCAGTTCCAGGCATTCCTAATAGAATCGTGCTGCTTCTGTTTGCACATAATAATGTGCTGCTGACAGACTCAGGTGGGAATTTCATGCCCTGTCAGCATCTTGACCACTGGGACCCTCAGTGGGACATTGAATGTATTGATTAGAAGATATAATGAGGCATCAATTCCAATTGATGATTCTTATTGTAAGATTTGTCACTTACAAATTATTTATCTAAAATCACGGAGCAGTCACAGTAAATTTAGTTAGCAAATCATGGATTCAGAGGGAAATGTGTAACATCATGAATAAGGCACCAGAAGGTGGTGTCTATTTGGAGCTGAATTTGCTCCAAAGTGACAATGGAATGTCTGAATCAAGTTAATCCGCTGTGATAATCTGTAGTCAGGATTCTAACCAGGTGAGTTCACAGTCCTTCAGTAGACTACTGATGGCAGCACAGCCAACTTGTCGTGGTGGGACCTGAAGGAACAGACCAGTCATTGGGCGTAGGGATTCTTCCCACTCAGCATCTGTTTACCTGGCAAACCAAAGTCCTAACAGGTAGGAAGGGTGGTCCTAGCAGGAAGGTTTGACAGACAGTGGGAATTTTGCAATTTTAGCTGGTTAATTTCTAATGCACATTCTGGGGTCCAAAAGCCTTGGCCCCTGCCAGGCTGGATCTAATACTCTCTGGAATTAGGTAAGCAGGATGCATCCCTCCACGGAAGGTGCACAATCGAATATATAGGAATTTCCATGTGTAGGTGGGATTCGTGGAACTCTGTTCGATTTGGATACTCTTAAGCATGGTGATGGGTTTCTACATGCATCAGATAACCAGCCCCCACCACCAAAACAAATATATATTTATAATATATTATATATAAAGCTTTCATAAGGACATTGTTTCCAAGCATTTGTTTCAAGATTGTGGATGGTACTAAAGCAAACCAAATGAGAAATAATATTTAGAATTAATGATCCAGGACAGGGAATGGTGAGGAGAAATCGCTTACTCCCTTTCCTCTTCCCTACATTGTCACATCATATGTGCTCATTTTTCAATCATCCTGTACACTCTCTTGCTCTTACTTTTCATAATAATTTGTTTCCTTCCCTTCACACTCACGCACATATTTTCTTGTACCATTCCTAATCTCGCGCTCATTTTCCTTGGGGCTTCGGATGAGATGTTAAACCGAGGTTCCGTCTGTCAGTTTGGGTGGACATTAAAGATCCCAAGGCACTATTCGACAAGAGAAGGAAGTTTCTCCCAGTGTCCTGGCTAACAAATCCCCCAAATAAAATTGGTCATTATTATTGGAAGATACAAGCTATGTAAGAGGCATGGATTGCATTTGGAAGGTTTTCCACTTACGAGAGTTGGTTCGGTGATGCCTTTACTGTCACCAGATTGTTCCAAAAGTCGCTCTGTGGTACTTGCCATCGGTTGACAGAAACGTCGTGTGTCAGATCACCTGGAAAATAAGTGGCTGAATAAACCTTTGTGGACATTTTTTGTAAATTGAGACAGATGGTGAGATTAAAGTTAAAATGGCAAGCAAGAAGATATGAGTTTTTGAACTTCATCTCAGTCAAATGACTTGTCACTGAAACCTAGAGTAATAATCACAGAAAATTGCTTCTGTTTCACTATATTTACTTTCATTACATGCCTTATGAGACTCCACCAAGCCTTTCTGTTCAAAACATAGACTTGCTATGTCAACCATCTTATTACTGTTGGGAGTATTTCTTCCATTGGCAGAGTCTTAAAAGGCACATATCTGAAAATGAAAACACTAGTGAAGTGGAAATGGTTTTGGGTGATAACTGCTTCTAGTTTCAGGAAAGTTCTTTGATTGAAACAAATTTGATTTCCCCTCACATCTTCTTAATAGCTGTTTTAACTTGAATCCATTCTGTCCCCTCGACATTCAGCCATTTATTTTCCTCTCTTGCAGGTACCGATAGGCTTATTGTTTCTCCAGGGATTTACATCATCCATTGTTGATGAGACTGCTTTGGCAGTTGTTGGCAATGCCCTCCTCAACCTTAGTAAGTGAATTATTTTTTATTTTGAATGTGTTTTTTTTGGAGGGGCGAAGGTGAAAGGTAGGGGATTTGTGTTGCTCACTTTGCCAAAACCAGTTGCTGAATTGGGTTTGTAGCTATGGCTACATTTTAAAGCTAGACGATCAGTTTTCCCTTCTCTGCTGTTCCTGTTCTGCTGGATTATTGAAAAGTTATCTTTAAAGTGCTCATAATTGCTTTAATCATCTATGAGTGATTCTGTGTATTGTTAGACACAATTTCAAATAAATACTTTTCAGTCATGGGCTAATGGATTGTCCCTGTTGTATGTTTTAGATGTTATAAAGCTACAGCTGGTTGATGCAGGATTAGTAGACTGTCTTCTAGAGCTCGTCCAAGAGACTGTAGACAGCGATAAAGAAGATGATGTTGCAGAGCTTAAAACAGCCTCTGATCTCATGGTCTTGTTGCTTTTGGGAGGTAAGTTTCATTCAGCAGGCTATTGTAATAGCTTACAATATTTGTGTTGCTCACTTGTTTATTTAGATACCAGATTCAAGATCTCTGAGTAAAATGTCAGATAAACTGAAATGTTGTATTTTGGAGAGTTTATCATTGTGCTAATGGTAATAATAATCCTTGTATTTGATAGCACTTGGTTCTCAATATCTATTAGTAGGGTGGCAAAGAGGTGGAGCTGGGAAGTAGGAATATAGTCAAGGGAGCAGGTGGCAGGCTTCATTTTGGAGTTCATGTTTCCTATTTAGGTTGACACATTAACCCGAGGTCCCATCAGCCTGTTCAAATGGATGTTAAAGATCCTATGGCATATTCCAAAAAAGAGAACATAGTTTTCACCCTTGTCCTGGCCAACAATCCCTGTTTGTGGGACATCGCTGTGTGCAAATTAACAGTTTTGTTCACCCACACCACTCAACAGCAAATCCTGTGAAGCTCTTCAACGTGATTGGACAATGTGAATAGATGCTGTGTAAAACATAAGCGTCTATTTCCTTCTTATTGATATGGAACTTGCGTCAAAAATTGACCTGATCACACTTGTTATGTTTTCCTATGAATATCCTATTTTGGAGCTTTACATTGGCTGCAAAATGTTGCTGTAAAACTGTGTTCACTATGTGGTAAATTTGTCCCCATGTCCCAAAAAGAGGGACCTGAGAACCAGCAGCAAAAAAGAAAAGTGGAAGTTTTTAAGTCTAGGAAGGGGAAAAACTTTACAATGGGTGGAAGAACCAGATAAAGGAATACATTGTAAAATGGAGAAAAGAAATAGTAACAAAAGCAATAGAGGAAGAATAACTTGAAAAGCAGAGGTAATGTTTTTGAAAAGTATTGTTTTAGAATTGTGATTTATATCAATAATTCAGTTTCCATAGACAAGTAGTCGTTTTTAACTTTTAACGTAGATGCTTTCTGATATTAAAATATCTACATCTGTAAATGTTGGAGTTGATTTACTGGTAAGTGATGATCCACAAGTGCCACTAATGTGTTGTATTTGATGGGTTCAAATTTAACCCGGTCACCTGCAGGGTACACCAGGGCTCTATCCTTGGCCCTCTTCCTTTCTTCATCTACAAGCATCCTCTGGGCGATGACACGCAGACATGGGGTAAACTTCCACATGTATGCAGATGACACATAAATCTACTTTGCGTCCTCCAGTATCGACTCCAGTGCCCACCGATGTATCAGCTTGTCTGGCCGACATCAAGGCCTGGATGAGTGCAAACTTCCTGCAGTTGAATGTAGACGAGACTGAAGCCATCCATACTCCTTGGCTCCCGTCAGCATCTTCACTCCTGGGGATCTAAACTCCTCAACCTCCCTGGGCTCTCCCTCAACGTCCGGTTCAGCACCCAGCTGTCCTTCCTCCCCCACATCCGGTCTCTGACCAGGACCGCCTTCCTCCACCTCCGCCACATTGCGTCTCCGACCGTACCTTATCCCAAGTGCAGCCGAAACCCTTGTGCACACGTTTATCACCTCCCGCCTGGATTACTCAAACGCACCCCTTGCCAGTCTCCCCAGCTGCACTATTCAAAAAACCCAGCTCATTCAGATCTCTGCTGCCCGCATACTGATAAGGCGCTGTATAAGAATAAGTTGTTGGTGTTAAATCACAAGTTCTGCTTTTGAAAGATGTTCCTACAGTGATTTTCTATAGGGATTTCCATTTCTGCAATTTTTCATTTCTGCAATTAGATCCAATTTCTGCAATTCAATCCAAACCCTAACAAAACTTTTTTTCATAAGTGATCATGGTAACGGTAATAATAATAATCATAATAATAATAATCCTCCTTACATTTGGTATAGTGACTGTTTTTTCGGCCAACTTGTCAGCTAATTTGAGTACACCAAAGTCCCACAAACTGCCATGAACTAAATGACTAATTCTATCGGAGAGTTGTTGGCCAGGAAATAGTTTTGTTCTAAAAAGTGAATTAATTATTTGCTAATATAATTACTGCTTTGTGACTTTGTAACTAGTAGGTGTGAGACATTCTATCCGTTTGAATTTTTACTTGGGTCTTTGTCCTGGAGCTCAGTGTTAGAGGACTCGCTTTGCAAGCGAGAGACCTGGGTTCGATTCCCGGTAAGGTGAGACCTTGGGCAAGTTTCCTTACTCCACACGCCTGATAATAATCCCCCAAGAAAAAAACCCAATAATAAATTGGTCATTTCAATGTACAACTGTTTGTGGGACATTGCTGTGCGCAATTGACTGCCGCATTTCACCCACAAATATACAGTCAATTCACTTTACAGTCTATTCTGTGAAGCGCTTTGAAACATCTAGAAGACATGAAAAGCGCTATACAAATGCAAGGATTATTATTATTGTGTTTATTTCTTGGTTTTTAGCCTTTATTAAAGCGGCTCACTGCTCGTTTTGCAAATCTTGGTATTTCTCCTATTCTGGTATTAATCGGCCATAATGCTTTCGATTTTGGAACAAATTAAAGGGATGGATTGGTGAGAAATCTCATTCAAAAATGAAAATACATGATATTACATGAACCTTGAAAATGAATATTAAGTGCCAATCTCATTCTCTCTATAATTACTATATTTAAAATATTTGTTCTCAATCTTTCACTCTTTTATAATTCCACATGATATTTTCACAACTATTTCTTCAACTGCCATTTCACTCTATTTAGAATCTATTTTTCATTGCTTATAAAGCCACTCAAACATGGCAGAGATTCAGACATTAGTTGTAATTTTACAAGGGTAACATCACACCAAAGTGTCTCAGCCAAGAACTGGTTTACTTGTTATTTGTGGAAATAATTTTGTGTTTTCTTGTCTATTTGTTCTGTGATGTAGATGAATCCATGCAGAAGCTGTTTGACAAGGGTAAAGGCAGTGTTTTTCAAAAGGTTCTGTCGTGGCTTCCTTCAAATAATCATCAGCTGCAACTCGCTGGAGCTCTGGCCATAGCAAATTTTGCACGAAATGGTGAGTTTCCCTTTGATTTGCATTTCAAGATGTGAATGTTTTAAGTCCTTTCTGTATTTAGTTTTTTTTCAATAGCTGACATTTTCACAAGCCCCTTTAGTTGGACCAACAAGATAAGTGTTGCTCAGTTGAATATTTCTTAATTTATGCCATCAAGAAATCGTTGCCATTGATTTATCCATCGATTTTGTTGACCACCACTGTGAAGATCTAGAAGTAAAGCTTTCATTTTACTTTCATAAGGAATGCTCTTTACAGGTCTGCTTGAGGAATTGCTGGAATGATTTAAGAAATCACAGCAAGACATCTTCCTCTCTTTCCCTATTCTCCCTTCTCCCCCTCCTACACCTCAACACAGCAGTTAATGGCCATGCAAGTGTGTGCAGATAAGGCATTCCATATCATTTCTTCTCCCCCATCCTAAAAAAAGTCTTCTCCCCAATTCTTGTGAATGCACTGATGCAATGGCTACACTTGTATCTGAGTTTTTCTTGTGATAGTGACTGTTGATGAGCTATTCAACCAAAGAGCCAGCACAAATGAATCTGACGACCTTTACTCCACATCTCAATATGCCCATTTTCCAGCCCATTGACATGATCCCCCAACCCCAGCAACTGCTGAGGCCAAATTTAGTGTCCCATTTATTCTTTAGCTTCAATGAATTATTTGATCATGGACCAGGGATCAAATGACCAGATCATTTCCCTGGTCTGTATGATTCAGTGCCATTCTGGACATTGGATTTATTCAATGAAGCTCTGTGTTTTTCTTAGAACCCACTGATTGTTCCAGTGTTAGTTGTTGGAAACTGAAAGCAATATTGTTCAGCCAATGGTAATACTGTAAGATGCAGTGTCCAGGCCTTTTGGGATATGGTCCACTTTACTGAATTTTATTATTTATTAATTTATAAAAATGAGCAAATTGTTTGTTGGGACCGATTGCTTTGTATGATGCAGTGCTGAGAGGACACTGCATTTTTCCAACTAGATTATTCCAACAACTTGTTCACCAGACCAGCTCCCTCTTACACATGCTGCAGACCATCCAGAACTCTACAGCTCGTGGATCAAATTCAAAATCCTCAACCTCGCATTCAAATCCTCAAAACTTTTTATTTTTTGTAGATGGAAACTGTATCCACATGGTGGAAACGGGAATTGTGCAGAAACTCTTGGATCTGTTGGATCGGCACGTAGAAGATGGGAATGTGACAGTACAACACGCGGCCCTTAGTGCTCTCCGCAACTTGGCTATTCCTGGTAAGCTTTTCCAGTTGTTAAAGAGAAATGCATGAAGACCACTGTACTCAATTAATTCTTTATTGCTAAAAATGTTCGCATAACGTTCAGTAGCTCCCTTAAAATCCTAGAGCTCCCTTATCTCCTCAGAAAGAGATGCGCTGACTGAACCTTAAATAACAATTTGAAGCAGCCTTTTTATAGGCTTAATATGTGGCTGTAATTGTTTTTAATTTGCCCTCAATATTGTTGCATCTTAGCTTGCAAATATAATAAAGTTGTATGTTTTCATAAATCTGGTACTTTTTAAACAAGAGAAGCCATGGAGAGCAGTGGTATGGGGAAAGTCAGTAACATATTTGCAAGAAAAGTAAAGGTGTACCTCTAAAGGCTGATTGGTCAAAGTACTACCAACCAGTATCGGAAAGTGTATTTATGGGCGTTGAACAAGATCAGGGTAGGTTTGTTGTGGTGCCCCTTCAGTCAAATAGTTTGCTGGCAATTAAGGTCTGGGCTCACACATGAAGAATGGCAACGTAAGTGAAGTACCGGGTGCCTTGCCTGGCTAGTTGTGCGCAAATTGGCTGCAACTGTTGCCGTAAAAGAAAAAGTACAGTCAAGTTGCTGCTGACGTCGCTTCTTGCACACTGCACATACGTGCTGTGCTGCGTGTAGGAAGTGTCACTGAAGTTATTCCACGAAGAAAGCAACAGCAGCAGCAACCTTACGATGGGGAAGTTGGCCATCTTTTCCCGCTTGCTTATAACGAAAGATTAGACCCATACACTTTACAGTATATCTTGCAAAGCACTTTAAGATGCTCTCCCAAATCTGAAAGCTGCTCTATAATATATAGTATTGTTATTATGTTTTATTCAGTGGAGTAAAACAGGAAAATTCCATGCAATTATATTGTTTTTTTTCCGCCCCAGTCTTAAACAAGGCTAAGATGCTATCAGCAGGAGTGGCAGATGAAGTGCTGAAATTCCTCAAGTCTGAGATGCCACCCGTCCAGTTCAAACTGCTTGGAACATTACGCATGTTAATTGACGCACAAGGTATCACAATTGAATAAAATGTACATTGCTTGTCCAATCATTTTTTGAAAGGAAGAAGTATTTTAAATATTTGTTTTGAAAAGCTACTTGATGTGCCAGCGCTTTGTATCATGCATCGGCAGAGTGTGAGACGTTTATTGGTTGGATCCAAGATTTTTCATTCAGCAAGTACTTTGTTCTAACGTTGTGTAGAATTGATGAGCTATTTCCATTTAAGTGGGGAGATGATCATCTGGTGAGTGTGCTTGGCTGACTTCAGATCTTGGAGCAAAATGTGAAATCATTTAAGTGACCATCTCAAAGAAAAAGTTGTGTCTCTTCGGATGTCCCATTTGTACAGTCTGGAGGCCATTGGAAATCAATGGAAGAGTCCGATGTCAACACAGGAACACAACATAAACTGGACTATTAAATTGTATAAATGACCAGATGGTAGTCACCTGTTTTGATGCCGTCAGAAGAAGGCTGGATTCATTCTATTATCCAACATCAATACATATTAATCACCCAAATTCCTATCGCATGGCTTATCTTTCTCTTTTTCACATTAGCCATTTCTCTTCCCTTACCAAATCAAATTATTCTGTGCGACACAGGAACACATGGCTAAAATGTGCACGTCCCCAATATGAGTATGAGCAGATACGTAATGGAATCCAAGTTATGATCGGGTTGAGCTACTGACCAATATAAACAGGAGAGATTCTTCTAAATGCACAAATTCAAATGCTGAGCCTGGCTTTAGAAGAAACACTTTTGTGTTTGTATTCAGCGTGCTGATTGTTGATATTTTCTTTTCTCTTTCTGCCGCAAGCTGAAGCTGCTGAAAAGCTAGGAAAGAACATAAAGCTAGTGGAGCGTCTGGTGGAGTGGTGTGATGCGAAGGATCATGCAGGTGTAATGGGTGAATCAAACCGGCTGCTATCAGCACTTATCAGGCACAGTAAATCGAAGGTGTGTGTCCAGGAACGTGGCGTGCGTGAGCACTAAATTTAGGAATTCTTGTCTGACATTAAACGGCTTCTCGGCACAAAATGAACCTGCAGGAAAGCCGGTGACTGTTTAGGAACACCATTAATTGTGCGCATGGAATATTTCTTAACTTTCTCCATCTGGTACATATCTGGTACTAAGGGACATTTTCTCTACAGCCACGGTAGTTAGTACCCAGGTACAAGGCAATCCTGTTCGAATGCCTCCCCATTGAGTTACTTACAGCGTGGTGTAATGTGGACACTGAGTTTCCAGCCTTGACTAGCTGTCTTCCTTCAATAAAGTGTCCAAAATCCAGGTTGTCTGGTCGCTGTTGACGTAACTTCCGTACTATGTGCAGGAAAAGCCACTGATGTCACTTCAATGAAGGAAGTAGCAACAAACTGACAACGTAATTTGGAAGTTGGCCATTTTTTCATACTTGCTTATAACGCAGTCCTGTACCCAGTAACAGGGTTTCCTTATGTAGCATGAAACAGTGGATCAACAACAGCAACCATTTACACGTATATAGCACCTGTCACGTCAGGATGACATCTAAAACCATCACAGCTGATGTGAAGCCTGAGGGGGTGCAGAGTGGCTGAGGAGAGTGGGGATCAGCTTAATTACCGTGAAATGGTGACCTTCAGACAGCTTTTCAAGCTGGGTTTAAAACATTTTCAGTGCTCTTGTTGTAGTTTGAGTGTGCTGTGGAGGCACAGTGACAGGATATGTGAAGGTGGGTAGTTTTTATCCTCAACATGTCTGTATCAGCAATTTGCATCATGCTGCAGATAAATGCAAATGCAATTTTGCACCATTGAACAGAGTACAACATGTTTTCTGTAGTGTTTATAGGATGACTGTACCTTGAAATTGGTTTGGCAAGCCAGGTGATATTGTGCAGGTGAAAAAATGTTGCTCACGCAATTATGATAATGTGACATAATTAAATTGGCAGTAATTTATAATTTGAGAATATCTTGGGAACCGTTTTCGATTCATGAAATGCAGTTGTCTAATACGGTACAGTTTATTGAGCTAACAGTGGGTCTAAAATGTGGGAATCATAAAAAGTGAATCCTACCGATACGTGAATGTGTCGAGGCTGATTCCAGGTTTAATTCTGTAAATCGGGATTGCAATTAAAGAAGGTGCTTTCATTGTTTGAGCAGAACTCCAGATGGATGGGCCGGGACACATTCGAGTACCTGAATTTGCTTTTACAGATCAATTTATGAATTATCTTGCTGCCCCCCCCCCCCCCCCCCCCCGCCCGCCCCTTCTGTACACTAACTGTTTGTTTCTTGCCCCCACTTTGTCAGGACGTCGTTAAGACCATTGTTCAAAGTGGTGGTGTAAAACATCTGGTCACTATGGCAACGAGTGAACATGTTATAATGCAGAATGAAGCTCTCGTTGCTCTGGGACTGATAGCTGCGCTGGAACTCGGTAAGTGGAGTGTATGCACAATATGAATTTAACCAAAACCGAGGTTTGGTTAACTTTGTCCTGCAGATTGTAGGTACGATATCAGCATCAAACGGGACACAATAATCTTGGTGTGTTGAGAGAGTTTATTTTAGAACAGTTAATAAATACACTGATTTCTTTAACCGTGAATACATTTTTGAATCCATGCTTGAATTTGGGATGCAACAAAAATCGCTCGAGCATACTGACAGCAGTAGAAGTGTATGAAGGCGGAGAAATGTTCCTGGTGCTAGTGCTCAAGCCAGCGCTGCAAAAATGCATAAATAATTATTGTATAAATACATAGCAGATGTCGGTGCCCTGTTTCATCGTTCCATGGATCCTTCTGCGTGATTGACATTTATAAGACTTGTTATTGTTCTGTGATTTCCCAAAGTAGTTAGTGTATGTCAAATTTGCTGCAAAGAAATACTCCCAAGTCTGACTTCCCTCAACACTAAGTCTTCGATTGTCAACTTATCAAAAAAGCACAGTTCCAGGTTGCCTAGAAAATTGAGCAGAAGTGCAGTCAGTTGAACTAACGATCAAAAATAGCAGCAATGGTTGAATTGTCTGTAATAATGAACAGGGTTATCTGGATTCTCTGAGGCTCCCCAACCTCAGCCTGTAATTAATTAGTGGACATTGGCTTTTCAGCTGCTCAAGTGCTTAGCTCATGGATCAAAACAATACAATTACTGTGATGGAAAGACCATGCAGCATTAGATTTGTAGTGCATTAAATTATGATTATGCTAATGACATTTCTCGGCAGACCATAATGAAAACCCGTTATGGGTTAACTTGCTTTTGCACATGGCCCCTGCCAGATCTCTTGTTGCTGTCATCTTATCAAAGAACCGCGGGTGCTTTGAGTCATCTTCTTGATGTGAAAGGCACAATATAAATGTATTATATTGCTCCAAATAGCGAAAACACTCACTGACATATGTGATTATGCACTTGATGCACATATGCTGGGTAAGATAGTTTTGTTCGTTTTGGAAACAATAACCTCTGATGTTCAGGGGATTTCTCCCAGCTTTCACTATTATATTGGTGGAAGGAATCAGAAAAAAACCTCAATGACTTTGTATAGAGCAAATAAACAGAAGCCAAAGAATTTTGGAATGTAAAAATGCAACTGCACAAAGAATGTCTGGTCTGGTATATTATTGGCCAACACACATCAGCCAATATATTTATTTAGCAAGTTTACTATAACCAATTACGATCACCAAGATGATAGAACCAAATGATTTTTTTTTCCCCCTGCTACCTTCAAAAAAAAATTCTCACATGATTTGGACTGCTTCTGTAGGGGCAAAGTGGCAGGGGGAAAAACCATTTTACCAAAGAAGGAGTTCAAATCATGTGAGGATTTCTTTTGAAGGTAGCAGGGGGAAAAAAAAATCATTTGGTTCTATCATCTTGGTGACTAATTGGTTAGTAAAGTTGCTAAACAAATGCTTAAAAGCATATTTTGTAGCATGAAAGGTAGACGGCATTTAAATAACTAGCATTGGTGTTCGTTCCATAACGTTTCTTAATACTTAGCACTTAATTTTGGAATATTTTACTTTACATTCCCTTCCCAGTCACGAGCACAAACTTGTCGCCCAGCAGGCATCCGTGACCGAGCAGAGACTGACTGTTGAAAGCTGAGATTTGTTCCCAGTTTACCTGTCCTTCAGTATCTCGTCAACGGGTCACCTTTGTCTGCTGTGAGCTGCTCGTGCGGCATTCTTCCTCCTCACTCCCTGTGCATGCATAGATGGGCCCAGTCTGGCAGAAACTGGGACCAAGTCATTTCAACTGCGAGCTGTGTCTCAAATAAAATTACCATTTGTCATTCCACATCCTCTTCAATGTCCCTTGTTGCCAGAAACAATGTGGTAGAACTTGCATGTCGTAGTAAAATAACAATGTGACTGTTTCTAGGAGAATTGCACCCATCTTACACAGACACCGCACTCCCTATTCCATGCAGTGATAAACGCGAGAGACTGAGGACGCTGCAGTTTAAAACCTGAAATTTTCCTTTAGATTCAAATATTGAAGCTTGCTTCATGCTCCATTCTTAATGCTTCCAAGAGCCAAAAGGGATAAGTGTCCCTTTCGATTTCCTCCTGTTGTAAAAGGCGCCATACAAATGTAAAGTTGTTGTTGTTCCCATCAGGTACTGCAGAACAGGATCTAGAGAATGCCAAACTTGTGCAAGTTCTACACAAATTGGTTTCTGATGATGTCAGTGCACCAGAAATTAAGTACAACTCAATGATCATGGTTTGCACCATCATGGGGTCAGGTGAGCATTGCACATTGTGAGTTATCAGTGTAACAAAGTGAGCCAAACATGGTTGATTGGTTGATATCTGACGAGTAAGTAAAATGCTTCTGGAATTTATTCCTAATCCCACGGCTGCCAAACTGTTCTATTGTCATAGAGAGTTCTTGATCTGATAGTACCAATTTTTTTGCAATAGTAAGTTTTGAAATTCATAGACTTTGTGGAGCATTAGCTAATATTATTACAAAAACTTCCAGATGCTGGGCGTTTACTGCAGAGGAGAGGATAGGGGAAGGAGGGTGACCGAATGCACGATCAAAGAGGAGGGTCTTGAGACTGATCTCGAAGGAGGCAAGGGAGGGGAGAGGCAGAGGGACCGTGGGATGGAGTTTCAGAGGGTGGAGGCAGAGAGGCTGAAGGCCCATCCCCAATGATGGGGCCAGCAAGGTGGGAGACGTGAAGCAGGCCTGAGGCTGCTGAGCTAACAGAGTGGACAGGCCTGAGGCTGCTGAGCTAACAGAGCGGACAGGAGCAAGGCCGTGTCGGACTTTGAAGGTGAGGACCAGGATCTTGAACTGTATCCTCTTGAGTGATGGGGCACCAGTGGAGCCGGGGCGAGGGTAGGGGCGATAGGGTCGCGGAGCCTGGTGCGGGAATATATTTGCAAGGCAAATCGCTGAATGTCTCTTTCTTACCCTTTCAGAACTACTCAAGAAGGAAGCACAGAGTATGCCATTCAAAGAGGTGGTGTCCAAGCTCCGCAGTCACGAGAACAAACTTGTCGCCCAGCAGGCATCCGTGACCGAGCAGAGACTGACTGTTGAAAGCTGAGATTTGTTCCCAGTTTACCTGTCCTTCAGTATCTCGTCAACGGGTCACCTTTGTCTGCTGTGAGCTGCTCGTGCGGCATTCTTCCTCCTCACTCCCTGTGCATGCATAGATGGGCCCAGTCTGGCAGAAACTGGGACCAAGTCATTTCAACTGCGAGCTGTGACTCAAATAAAATTACCAGTTGTCATTCCACATCCTCTTCAATGTCCCTTGTTGCCAGAAACAATGTGGTAGAACTTGCATGTCGTAGTAAAATAACAATGTGACTGTTTCTAGGAGAATTGCACCCATCTTACACAGACACCGCACTCCTATTCCATGCAGTGATAAACGCGAGAGACTGAGGACGCTGCAGTTTAAAACCTGAAATTTTCCTTTAGATTCAACTATTGAAGCTTGCTTCATGCTCCATTCTTAATGCTTCCAAGAGCCAAAAAAAAACCAAAATAGCGTGCATCATGAACCTTTCCCAAATGTTGGCTGTTAATGATGTAATATCATGGTACCTAGAATTAATAAATTAAACCGTAAGTTCCCAGTGGTGTCTAATGTGTTGATTTTCTTAGTGTGTAGGATTGAAAATGGAGTAACTGAAATTTGTTTACAAGTCTGTAGGTGTAGTAGGTGCATTCCACCATCTCATTTTCTTGCAACTGCTACTTTCTAACACAGCTTTCGGTAGATTTGTGGCCTTCGCTTCCACCTTCGTTCATTTGAGTATGTTCAACTGCGTGAGAAGATTCACATAGATTGAATACTTCCACCATTGTGGGCTCCCGAGAAAATAAAGAGTGCTGAAGTCTTTCATGATATCAAACCCTTTCATGATTTTAACACTTCTATTAGATCCCCTCTTCTAGCAAAAAATGCTATCTAGTCTATCCTGATCGCAGTAACCTGCCAATCCTGGTATTATCTGCGTAAACCTATGCTGTACTCTTTCCATCGCTGCTATAATTCCTTCCTCTATTATAATGTGGAGACCAGAATTAGATACAATTATATAATGCTTATATTAATGCTTAAGAGCTATTTTCAGTTGCAGGAAGTTTCTCGAGCAGCTTTCAGCACTCAAATTATCATAGAATCATACAGCACAAAAAGAGGCCATTCGGCCCATCGTTATAACAACTTGCGTCCCTCACTTGGGGTAGCGTCGCAGAGCACTTGACTGGCAGAGCACGACGTCGAACCAGGGTAGGGGGAGGTGACCGTAGGTCTTGAATAGGAAGGTCTTCAGGTGGAGGGGAAGGAAGGATAGCAGTGGGTCGAACCTGACGCCTGGGTTGCGCACTGGTTCGGTAAGTGAGGGATAAGCCGGAGAAGTTGGAGGTCAAAGCCGCAGGATAAAAGACATTGACGGGAGCCAATAAGTACAGTTTCCGTCTGGTCAACATTGAATTGTAGGAAGTTTTCACTCATTTAGACCTTGGAGCCGCAGCTGGAGAAGGAGAGGTAGATTTATGTTTCATCTGCATACAAGAGGAAGTTTACCCTCTTGTCTACGGATGACATCCCCAAGAGGGAGCATATAGATGAAGAAGGAGGAGGTGGCCAAGGATGGAGACCTGGGGTACACAACAAGTGCACAACAAGGCAGAGACGGGAGAAGAAACCGTTTGAGGAGATAAAGTGAAGGTGGTTTGTTAGGTAGGATTCGAGCCAGGCTAGTGCAGTCCCACTGAGGTGGATGAGGGAGAAGAGGCAGTGGAGGAGGATGGCTTGGTCAACTGTGTCGAACACGGAGGAGAGATCCAGGAGGATGAGGAGGCAGAGGGAGCCCTGGTCACAGCGAGAAAGGATGTAGTTTGTGACCTTGACCAGCTATCGGCAGGTTTGTGACTGCTGTGCAATGGGCAATGCAGAAACCAGAATGCTGGGGCTCGTGGAGCGAGAGGTGAGTGCTAAGCTGGTTAGCGACAATTTGTTCTAGAGCTTTGGCAAGGAAGGGCAGGTTGGAAATGGGATGGTAATTTGTGAGGTTGGAGGGGTCAAGATTGCGTCTTTTGAGGAATGTTGTTATTCTCATAAATGTCTCTATTTTAGGACATTTGTCACCAAGAAGAAGTTATTGCGGTTATTCCGTAGACAGCAATTAGATTGCTATACATCCTTCAGTCCTCAACAAAAACAACCATTAGCAACAGCTGAAGAAGCCAAACCACACATGAACCATCAAGAAAGAACTTTATTGTTTAGTGTATTATCAAAAGGGCTTTACAGTGATCACTATCAAGCGCAGTGATGGCGTGACTGTTTTTGTAGGCAAATGCAGTAGTCTTGTACCCCGGCAAGGGCCCGCAAACAGCCAGGAAGTGAATGATCAATTAATCTAGAGATTGTTGACCAGGAGAAACTTCCTTCTCATAGTATTGCACTGGAGCTTCAGACTGGACAATCAGGTCAAGTGGGACTTGGAACTCGGGAACCTTTTGACCCAAGCGAGCCAATCTAACACCAGACAAAAGCCTGGCTCTCGTGCTCAGGCTATAAAATGGGAATGGACATTAAAATGATCTAAACTGGCTTAAAGTTTCCAGTCACTGGAGTTTGATGAAAGTAAAGGCAAAATGCAGGTGAATGCTTGTGAATCTGTCGATAAGATCCATCAGTCTTTATTTTAACATGGGAGTAATTCCACAGGTGTAATTTTCATGGATGTCCAATTGAGGGAGCTAGTCCTCAGCTACTTAAAGGCGCTGTGAGCCCTTGAGTGAGGAACGTGAGAGTCGCGTAAAAGAAGTTAAGATCGAGAGTAAGGACTGAGCACCACATACCCAATACGGGACTCCAATTTGCGAGTAGAATTAACAAGCAGTGAACAATTCAGGTTGTGCTGACCAGGCAAACGCACGTTTATCGAGGGAATTCATACTGTAACAAGCATTGTATTGGATTTCAACGACTCTGTGACCATTTACAACGGTTTCTTTACACGATTCGGTGCTTCTGTAATTTCCTCTGTCCGGATGGTTTTACCCAATTTCTTCCATGTTTAGTTTTTACAAAGGGAAAAAATGTAGGTTGCCAGTAAAACGTACCTCAATCGCATATTTACTCGTCCTGTAAATTCTGCACAAGTTGTTAACTCAATATAAAATGTTATAATACTCTTTGCATTTAACAGAGCGCTTTTCACGTCTTCTCGATGTCTCAAAGGGCTTCACAGAATATGCTGTAAAGTGAATTGACTGTATATTCGTGGGCGAAATATTTATTGACTCCCTTCCACACCCTCTGTGCGTTTCTCTATCTCCAGTCAAGATTGGAGATCTTCCTGCTATGCTTCACCCAAGAACTCGACTATTTCCGTGCAATGTGGAGCCAAGGGATTTGAACAAATTCATTCCAATCACATTGACGCCTGGAGTAGAAAGTGGTTTGTGTAGAGCTAAAGAGCTACGTGAGGCAAAGCAATAATCCCGACACTGGAAAGGTGCGAAGCATCTCAGTGTGAAAAAGATTTCTTCCCATCTTGCCCCACTATCCTTTTGACTTTGCTTTCGACCCGCGAGCAGGAATTGCTCTCTCAGAGGAGCCAGAAGCTGAGGAAACCAAACAAGGAGGCGTGATAGGAGTTGTTAAATAGTCAATTTATTGCATTTCTATGGAATACTGTATCCTAATGCTTCTGGTGCTTAAATATTGTGTAATGTGACATAAACTGCAGCTTGTGTGTTATGCAGGATGCCTTAAAAAGTCATTTTAAATCATCTATGGTTTCTTCAATCATTTACATTGTGCTTGTGGGCTTCTATGTCCTCCTGGGAGGAGGGGGGTAAGCAGGGCTTCCCTGGAGCTGACCTGGGTGCCATGCTTGGCAATGGAATATCGGAATCGAGCCAGCCCTCGGTGGCGGTTTCGGGAGTCCAGTTTCCTGAGCCAGGCTGGTCCTCGGTTTCCAGGACACTGCTGATGACAGCACAGCCAGCCTATCTCATCGGCAGGACCTGGAAGGACAGACCAGTGATTGGGGACAGGGAGTCATCCCGCTCGGCTCCTGTTAACCCTGCGAGCCAAAGCCCTAACCGGTAGGGTGGCTTTAGCTGGACAAGCAGTGGGAAAGCTTGCCAGCCAACAATATCAATGGCAAGCTATGCAGTTTTAGAAGATTAGACTCCAGCAGTTACCCCAAAGCACACTCTGGGGTTCCCTTACCTTCGACTCTTGCCAACCTGCGCCCAATACTCTCCAGAATTAGGTGAGCAGGATGTGTCCCTCCAGGGCGATTGCTGGACTGGAATGCGCACTCTCTAATCTCTGGGATTTCCATGAGTAGGTGGGATGCATGGAATTCTCAGCTTGGTTTGGATACTCTTAGGTATGTGTCAAAAAAAAAAACTAAAAAGAAAGTAACTTAAGATACTAACTCCTTTTCCGATGATAAGACAGAAACGTCTCTGAATTTTCATTTTCTCACGCGAAGGGGAGTCACCCCTGCGTATTTTTTTTTAAAAAAAAGTAAACGTAAATGTAACCTTAAAGAAAAACAAAAGGGTACAGGTACAGCCAGAGAAAGGCATTATTTTTAAGGAACACTGCTATTTACCTCAAAATTAAAATCTGTATATACATTTGGCAAAGAACTGCACAGAAACAACATTAGATTACATCCCCACACCCGCTGCCCCATTGAAGTTAAATTCACCAAACTGGCTTTTAACTAAAGATCATCTATTTTTTATGTCAGTTGTAAAACCGTGGCGAAATATTTAATGTGGGGGAGGTGGTGGGGGGAGAGAGAAGGTAAAACAAAGATTGTGGATCCAAATAGTATACTCAAAAGATATAATGATTTCCCCTCCCATTATTTTCCAGAGTTGAAGTTCCCACTGAGCATCAAAAGAGACTTAAGGGATCAGAGGCATTACCCATCTGAGCTTCCGAATACAGGACCTTCTGGTTTACGGCAGCGTTTTTAACCATCTCGTGTGTGCTATCAAACTGTTTAAAAGCTCCTGTATAACACGGTGGGATATCTGTAAGCGAAGCTGTCACTTCAACTTTGCCGCTGCATTCGGGTCTCCTCTGTAAGTTTTTTGTTGACTACAGAAGCAATCCCATGCATTTGCTAACAGTCACACTGGGGAAACGTCCATTTCTCAAAGCATCACAGGGTTCTCTGGCCACTCTTATCCCAGAACGTTTTACTACTCCATGCGAGAGTGAAGTCCAGAGGGCTGCTACGCGTTCCTCTGTGCAGTAACTTGGTGCATTTCGACTGATTGGCTTGGCAGTGATGGTTGCTACCAGCTCGCCCGGACAGCTTCAATATCGCTGACCAAGTTCTGAGCCAGGCAGATCCCAAATATCTGAAAGAGATGAGCAAGCCAAACATCACTGAAACTGTCTTTAACATTGAAACAACAACACGCGTTTATACAAAACTCATCAGGCGATGGAACATCTCGGAGGACTGGACAATGGTATAGTTTGGTGCCGAGGCAGGGAGAAAGGGGAGGTGACCGTAGGCACGGACAGACGGTTGGTCGGAGGAAAGTCTTCAGGTGTGATCTGAAGACCGGCAAAGAGGGGGCAAGACAGAGGGATCGAGGCAGTGGGTTCCGGAGGTTTGGGGCACAGTGGCTGAAAGCACGGTCATTGATGTTGGAGCCGAGGGACAAGAGCTGGTCTTGCATAAGGATGTAAGACTTCAATAAATGCGAGAAAAAAAAAAGGAAAGGTTATGGAGTCAATCATCAGAAAGCAAGTGGAAGATTACCTACATAAGAATAATCTAATAAATGGCAGTCAACACAGATTCAGAAAGCGTAGGTCTTGTCTGACCAATCTCATAGGACGAAGTAACGGTCCAAATTGCCATGTGATTGCAGAATATTTGGACTCCCAAAAGGCGTTCAATCAAGTATCACATGAAAGACTCCTCCACAAACTGTGGTCACTGAGTATCAAGGATAAGGCATGGACATGGATTCAGTACGGGCTGAAGGGAAGGAAGCAGAGCCCCTCCTGTTTCTCACAAAACGTGATGACTTGGATTCGCAGACACAATGGAGCACTTAAACTTGACACCAAATTGGGGGGAAACTGTGGAATCAGAGGGGGGGGGCAGCAAAGGTCCTACAAAAAGAGCTTGACAGGGAATGCACATGGGCCGATAACTGGCAAATCAAGTTTAGTACTGATCAATGCAAGATTCTACATACTGGATGTAAGAATAAGAAACAAAAGTACTTGATGGATGGGAGAGAACTAGCCTGGGGGAAGCAGAACGTGATCTAGGGGTGTTAGATGACTCATTGCTCACGCTGTGAAAAGAGTTTGAGGCAGCAATAACCAAGGCAAACAGGATGCTGGGCTGTACTGTTAACTCAGTTGAGTTTAGATCCACAGACGTCATACTCAGGCTGTTCCATGCTCTGGTCAGACCACACCCTGGATACTGCAAAGTCTGGTCACCGCAACATACAAAAACAACAACTCGCATTTATATAGCGCCCATCATGTGGGGTAGTATCCTGGAGCACTTCAAGGGCAGAGGTGAGCAATGAGGATAATGTCCACTGTTAGAGGAATGAGCTATGCACAACAACTCTTCAGTCTTGAGAGAAGATGACTCAGAAGGGACCTCATAGAGGCGTACAACATTTTAAATGGGATTGAATAAGTAAACCCATACTCTAGGATGCACAGCGTTAGAGGAATGACAATAGAACAAGAGGACATAAGGTTTAGAGTTCAATTCAGGCTGGACACCAGAACGTTTTTTCTTTCTTTACCCGGAGAAGAAAAGGCATTCTTCTCACTGTACCACCCAGTCCCCAGAGAAATGTGGCTTCTTTGTATTCTGTTTAAACCTGACCGCAATGTCGGTTCACAATATCAGGATTAATCTCTGGGTGAATTTCACATCTCTAGCGAAAATGATAAATCTCTTGGAGACTCATGGTGTACAGTAAACCTCAGCTAAGTTGTATCAATCAGGACCATACATTTAATACGAGTTACGTCAAACTTGCAGAGAATATAAACTCTTGAATGGGACTTGGGCAGATTATATGACTTATAGATCAGATTTATGTGAACGTTACTGTATTTGTTCTGCCGTTCTGGATGCTGCTGCTTTGGAAGTTCTCCGAAACACTACCTTGTGTGAAGGACTTGCCTCTGGTTGATTACTCCAGAGGCAGGGCTGCTGTGGGAGTTGCAGTATATGAATGCTACATAAAAATGCTCCACGGTGTGAAAATACAACAATTTATATGTCGAGAGCCTTTCATGTCGGCACTTCAAAACACTACACACAGCTGACTGGGAACTGGAGTTTGATGGTGAGGCGGTGGGCGGTGGGGAGGAGAGAAAGGTGTCTGAAAGCATGGTGAGATAGGTGGGAAATAAGGTTGGGATGGGGGCAAGGTGGAAGGGCTCTGGGCAGGAGATGCAGAGAACAAGGGCAGAATGGCTGAAGGCTCACCCGCCAATGGTAGCGAGGAGCAGACAGGTAGGGAAGCGTCCGCTGAGCAGAGGCCGGGATAGGGTTACGGGAGGTCACAGAGATAAGGGTGGGGTGAGGTCATGTATGTTTGCAATTGAGGATAAGAATTCTGAATTTGTTCGACTGAGGCATGGGGAGCCAGTGGAGCTGAGTGAGGATGGGAGTGATGGGAAGGGGCAGGTTTAGAAATGGATCAGTACCACTCACCTGTAACAGTGCGATCCCAATAAATATTCCTGCAACCACTGTTAGGTGATCCTGGAGCCATTTCTCAAACTGCCCAACGCATCCTTTTGTGTTGATGTAGTTCTGTTGCTCAAGGATCTGCACAATAGATATACGTGTCACCCGAAGGCCTTAGTAATGTGCTGATGAGTAAGCAAGCACACAGTACAGAGGGTTCAGCCAAAGATGACTCACTGGATGTATTTTACCAGGTTCTTTCATCAGCGTCAGTAAACTGGTTACACTGGGAAACACTCTCAATCCGGATCAGTTGGTTCCCCTTTGGCCTCTGACTTCCAGTCCCATGTCAGACTTGGAACTCATATAAATCTAAGCTAACCCTCCAGTGCAGTGCTGGGGACGTGCTGGACTGTTGGAGGTGATGTCCTTCAGATAACGCGTTAAACCAAGGCCCCATCTGCTTGTTCAGGCAGATGTTAATGATGACATGGCTCTATGTGAAAAGAGAAGAAAGTTTCTCCTGGTGTCCTGCCTGACAAACCCCCAGATAATAATTGATCATTCACTCCATGGCTGTTTGTGTGACATTGCTCCTCTTCTCACTCCTTCCTCCTCCTTTTCTGACCCCCCCCCCCCACCCCACCTTGTAACATAAGCAGTGAATTTTCCACAGCTCCAGCACCTTTCATGATATCAGAGGCACTTCTTGTTTTGGACTATGAGCAAGCTCTAAGATTCCCAAGCTCTTATGTGACTCCACTGGCTTTCACGGTACGCAACACATTCCAGGAATGGAGGCTGATTGCCCTCAGTTGGGTCTGACCAGTAACACTGTGTTAGCAGTTAATCTGTAGCCGCAATGTGCGTCTGGAACTGATACTGTCACACTGAAGAGACGGGTTGAAAGGATCTGTGCGGTAAACACAGCCAGAACACAGAGTGAAAACGGGGAGGTTAACAACTCACTGACGCACATCACACAATGTGAAGGACCTGTCCCACTCTTCATATCAGTTCCCATTCACTCACCTCTTTGAGTCTCACATCGTAGCCACATTGGGTATTAATGACGTCCTCCTGCAAAGATAAGATCACAAGAGAGATTCAGATGAAGAAGGCCCTTTGGCCCATTTGATCCCATCTTTCCAGGACTGCCGCCCTCCCATGGAGTCCTGTAGCGTAGTGGTTAGAGCACTTGCCTCGCAAGCGAGGGGACCTGGGTTCAATTCCTGGGTAGGATAAAACATTAGGCAAGTTCCTTACTCCACACGCCTCTGTTTACCTAGCAGTAAGTAGGAACCCAACTGTTAATCAATTGGCGGATTGCTTTTCCGGGGGTAATAAGCCCTTCAAAAAAATACTGTTTTTCAAAATCAATCCACGACTGTTTGTGGGACGCTGCTGTGCGTAATTGGCTGCTGGTTTCGTCCGCAAAATATACAGTCAATTCACTTTACAATATATTCTGTGAAGTGCTCTGGGACGTCTCGAAGATGTGATACGGAGCTATATCAAATGCAAGAACTATTATTATAAACACAACATCAGGCTGTTTCTTAAATGTGTAAAAAAAAATTACTTTCTGGCATCTATTCTAAAGTAACCCTTCTCAATCCTGAAGCTATGGTTTCCCAATCTCTTGAGCCTACCCAGGACCTTACCCTTAGCCTTGCTAATGCTAACGTTCAGTAACTCTTGCAATGTATTTTGGACAGCACACGGCTTGTGTTCTTTCTGTTAAAAAATTCTCCAGAAAGTAATCCAAACATATGTTGACTGGCTTCTATTTGCTCTCTTCAATACCCTTCGGGTCCCTTCAGAGTTTAACCTCCTCCCTGAGCAGACGTTTACTATATAATAATACTGGAATGTTAGCATTGTGTTTTGTAATTGATGCTACGTCCCTTTTTAGTTCGTTCTCTCCTTGTACCCTAATCCCTCATTGCACCTCACATTGTACTGGAGCATGAACAGAAACAGCCAGCCAATATCAGCCTCCACAATTACAAAACTCTTTCTAACCACACTGTGGGGTATGACTGACGTATCGCACGTTCTCTACTCCAGATAATTCCCATGAGTACAGTACTGATAAAACTTCCATGAATGTGCACTTCAATAAATATATCACCTAACAGTAATCTTGCAATCGATATAAAGCCTTATCACGTCGTTGAGACGTCTCGAAGCACATCACGGGATATACTAAAGTGAATTAACTGTGTATTTTGTGGGCAAAATAAGCTGTGATTACGGTAAAGTATGAAGCCTTAAGAAGCTAAACTATTAAGATTTCAGCAAATTATTCAGGGGCAAAAAACCTGAAATTCTGACACATGTGACCTGAATGCTCATGGATAGCTACTGCTTTCTTGTAAAGGAATACTTCCGAATAACTTGCTGCAAAGGGGACTGTCGTTCTGAGCATTCCTTCCAACAACGCACTTGATAACTGATTAAGCTAACGTGACAGGTTGGAATGATGTAGTGTGCGTGTGCCTGATGATGTCTGACCTCCAGGTGAAGTGGCTGTAAGGCTGGGTTCTGAGTGCCAGCCTCTGCTTCCCCTTTTCCGAATAACTCAACCACTGGAAAATTCTCACCGAAGTCTAGGTCTTAACGCGCGTCTGCTCAGTGCTGAGTTCAACAGGTGGGTTTGTAGACTGGTCCAAGTTGCCAATCATGCGTGAATTAGGCGTGACAGGATATATGGCTGTTTTGGGGCAACACAGGCAAGCCTGACACCACCCCACCCCACCCCACCCACGACCAACCCCACCCCCACATATCCTATAAACAGAAATTGTGTCATCTCCATTGAGGGTCTCGATGAGGGCATTGGATTAAGCTGGTGGGTGTCGCTGTCTGCTTACTGAGGGGTCCTTGGTACAGCAGGAGAAGGGCACCCCACATCGTTCTCGGCTGGTGTTACCGTCTGTACAATTGAAGTAAATATTCAAGTTCCAATCGTCAGCACCGTGGGCACCGCAGCATTTCCACTGTAAAACACGAGGAGGCGCAGGTCAGGCAGTCGGTCAAATGAAATCGATCCACCCGCACAACGACACTACAATAGTAATCCACCGCCCAAAGTGTCCAGCCTTGGGAAATCCAAACTGTGCGCTAGATTTACTCATGAGGGAGAGGGGAATAGAAGAGTATGAGAGGGAATAAGGAGCAGGTGGAGACTCACGTGGAGTATAAACACCAGCCCAGACTGGTTGGACAGAATAGCCTGTTTCCTTGTTAATCTGTAAATACAGTCTTAGCTATTTCTTTTTTTAAATGAAATAAATAAAAACGTCGGATGGAAATGAACGACAAAGGAGAGTCGATCCGCCTTTTACACTCCCGATTTCCGCTAAGTGAACTCCACTCTGCTGCCACTGCCTTTTGTTTGCCCGTTTATGTTGCTCTTTCATGCACGTTCTTAACGGCTGTTTTAATTCACTTCGGTTTAGTTCTGCTGTTGACTTGCCTTGGGTGGGCTACGCTCAGAATGCAAACATAACAAAAGTAACAGGTTTTGAACGCCAAATGTGTGGCCAGCCTCTCTTTTACCCCGGCCAACCCGGCTCTCGGGTTTACTCCCTCTCTCTCTCTCTCTCTCTCTCTCGGGAGCGAGGGTACCTACGTATTCCTGTGTGAAGTCGATGAGGTTCTGCAGGTCGATGTCGTCCCTGTACGCTCTGATGTTGTTGTTGATAAAAAAGTTAAGCTGATCCCTGATCCAGTCCTTGAAGACAAACGCCAGGATGCCAGCAGTCAGCTCCAGGAAGAAGATCACTCCGAGGAACACAGAGAACTACAAGGGAAGAGTAAGGAAGGATGATAAGACCAGCGTCCCTATAACCTTCCGTATCCACGGGTTACCTTGTAGATCCTAATAATAATAATAATCTTTATTATAATACAATATAGCGCTTCATCACATTGTCAAGAAGTCTCAAAGCTCTACAGAATATTACTGTAAAGTGGTTTGACTGTATTTTGTGGGCGAAACACGGCAGCCAATTGCGCACAGCAGCGTCCCACACATCGAGGGGGTGCAACATAATATATGCAGTGAGCTGGCTTTTCATCCCATGCTTCAGGATCACCCTCTAACAACCAAGAGTGTCATCTGCCGATGTTCACTTGCCCACAACTAGCCCCACTTACCCTCACCACCTACAGGTCCAAATCTCTGCCTCCAGAGGCTAAGAGCGACCCTCCCATCATCATTTTGTTCTGGGTTGAGCAGTATTCCCCACATGCCGGAGACTCATCTTCTCTGCTCCATTTGGTTAAAGGATCAGCCACAACTGTACTAATGGGCTGGGTGCGAACGCTGGAATGTGTAGAGAGCTGGTGTTGCCAGGAGAATAATCATCCCATGATAATGCTTATATTTGGTACGGTGCCTTTCACATCGGGAGGACATCGCAGAGGGCTCTACAGGATTTACATCAAAGTGAAGAGATTGCCTGCTTTGCAGGACGAAAAAAAATGATCCCTTCAGGGAAGAAAATTATTAACTTATTCGAGCAGGAAGGAAGGACAAACCTATTGAGAATTGAATCACCCAAATGAAATGTGCCATTAACATCTAACTTGATCAACTGGTGATCATCTCCTTGGAGATGGGGTGGGGTGGTGGGTGGGGCAGGAAGAGAGGAGAGGAGGAAAGACAAGCAGGGTCTCCTTGGAGCTGAACTAGCTCCAGGTTGACATGCAATGCAATTTCGGAAGCGAGTCAACCCTCTCAGTGGGCGGTCTTGGGAGCCCAGTTTCTGAGTCAGGCAGGTCTCGAGCACCAGTGGTGATCGCACAGCCGGGCTGGTCAGCAGCACTTGAAGCAGTAATCTGTCACTAGGAACAGGGACTCTTCCTAATGGTTAAGATGGTCCTAGCTGGACAAGACGCAGGAACATACAAATGTATTTTGTTGTTGTTGTTGTTGGGTATTGGCTTTACCACCTGAACCATTGGAAGAGCTGTAGAGTGAGTTTCCCTTCAATGGAACAAATCGAAGCGGAGGTTAAATGAACAACCGGAGTTGGCACAGTCAAACGGAGCCTTGAAAACTCCGCAATTCAGCTCTAAGGGCAATGTTTATGGAATTAGTGACAGATGGATTTCAGAGCTGCCTTATAACAGGACCTGTGGCCTCCACAGTGCACAAAGTTCGCTCTGTGCACAAAGAGTTTTTTTTTAAACAAAATAGTACTGTTAGCCCAAATGATAGTGAAAATGCTTCGGTCTGAAGGCCACAATGAGCAGTCTGCTGACCACCAGTAACAGAGACGCAAACAGTCCTGAATAAGCACCAGAGCTGAAGGTCAGTCACACCAGAAAACACCAGAGAGTGAAATCATCCCTCTCCCAAAGTTCATGAACTCTTTTATCGATTGTTTCTCCCACAAAATATACAATCAATTCACTTTACAGTAAACTCCGTGAAGTGTTTTGCGGTGTCTCAGCCACGTGATAAGGCTCTATATCAAATGTAAGGATTACTATTAATTGTATTAATAGCTGAGAGATGTCGAGGGATCTTAATTAGAAGTTACTTCTATTACTATGACTAACTACTATTACTATTAATAGCAACTATTATTACTACTAACTACTATTACTGCTGATACCAGAGATTACTGATTCTTTTTTAAGAGGCGAGCTCAGCCACCGTCAAATGCTCCGCGATGCATTTATATCGGGTAAAGGCGCGATATAAATGCAAGTTGCTGTTGTGGTTAAAAACTGGAGAAAGCTAGTTTCCAAATTAAGACTGAATTTTACAATTTGCCACACTATTCCGTGCAATCTCCGAGGTTAAGACTAAATGGTCTAACGCGCTGAAACAAGGTGGGAACGTCAGTCCTTTGTTTCTCTCCTAAATGTGCCCTTTATAAGCCTGAATGAACTTTTATCGATTGTTTCTCCCACAAAATACACAGTATATTCTGTGAAGTAGACCCAATGCAAGGATTATTATTGTTATTATTATTATTTTTATTATTAAGGAGCATTAGATAAATGTTTGGCACAGGCTTTGGTGGAGGAATGTGAGTGGCGACAGTTTTTTTCAAAAAAAAAACTTCAGGGCTGAAAGAGCCTTTCCCGTTCCGATGTTCCCCAAAAAGCAGTTTCATTTTCATTCAACTTCGGGTTTAGAGCCAGGCAAAGGCCAGGGACTTCTCCAAACCATCTGTCCACAAAGTGAGATACAGTATGAACCTGCGAAAGCCACAACCACACTGTCCACAAAGTATCAGGCTGTCACGTCTGCCGAAGTGGGAACATTTCACGTAAACTTTTTTTTTTAAACTCATGGTGACGTTAACCCACCTGTGGTTTTCGAAGGTAAAGGCACACAAAATTGCGTTGTTTTGCTTTTACTATTAACTAAATATGAGGTTAAACTAAGGTCGGTTGAGGTTCCCTCTTCGGAACTCGAATCGTATTCACAACCTATAAAGGGGTTCCATGTGGATAGAATAAAAAAAACACACCTTAATCGTGTGAAGCGCATTCAATCCCCTCCAAATCCAGCAGAGACCCACAAACAGCCACAAAGTGAGTGACCAATTTTTAATCTGAAGGATTAACGGCCAGGACACCGGGAGTAACTCCCCGGTTAAAGCAGTGCCATCTTTAACGTCCACCTGAACAGGTAGACCGGCTTTGAAGTCGTACAGTCCAGAGTGAACCCTAACTGCCGTGCGGTGTTGGGAGGGTCGCAATCAGGTAAATAGCAATAAATCAATAAAGGTTGGTCGGCGAGTCAGTTAACAAGAGGGTACAGATTTACGAGGATCACAAAAGGATTTAAAGTGAAGGTTAGGGAAAAAAAAGGGTTGTTGCACGGAGCCCTGGGACGTCCTCCCGACGTGAAAGGCGCTGTATAAATGCAATTTGTCGTTGTTGATTAGAATTCTCTGCCGTAAACCATTGCTGAAGCAGAGTCCGTGAATTATTTAAAAAGGGGAACAGAGAGATGCTGGAAGCAGATGAGTATAAAGGAAGGAGTGAGCAAGAGCGGGGGATTAGAAAAAGCCAGCGCTGACCTGATGGGTCTGTGACCACCTATAATTTAAACGACTATTCTTGAAAGAGCTGGTTACCAAATCGCCTCTTTACCAACATTCACCCGGCCGAACACCAGCCAGTGGTTGACGATCGATGATGGAAAGGGGTCACAGTCTTAAAATTAAGGGTCAGCCTTTTAGAACAGAGTCGAGGAAACATTTCTTCACTCAGAGGGCAGTGAGTTTATGGAATCCACTCCCCCAGAAGGCTGTAGACGCTCAGTCCTTGAACATCTTCAAGGCTGAGACTGATAGATTTTTAAAAAAACAGAGGGATTAGGGGATATGGGAACAGGGCAGGTAATCAGAGTTAGGTCAGAAGATCAGCCACGATCTTATCGAATGGCGGGGCACAGGCTCGAGGGGCTGAATGGCCTACTCCTGCTCCTAATTCTTATGTTCTTATGTTCTTATGAGAGGAGGTTGTGGTGCGTGCTCTGATTTGCTGCTCTCCTCGGAGTGAACAGAGTTGGGAGCTAAGTGCCGCTCTCATTGCTGGGAGCAACGTCGCATCATTTCCACTTAATAGCAAGCCGGCCATTAACTTGCTTCTCCGCACACTGATCAATACCCACCCCACCGTCCCCTTCCCCCCCACCACCCCCCACCCTCAGCCCCACCGCTTACAGCCAAAGCCATTTCCTACCTCACTTCAATGTCTTCCTCTGACAACACTTATAGCCACAGATAAATAATCCCGTAAACCAGGTTGGTCCAACCTTTTGGCTACTGAGGGATTTGAGAAACATCTTCGGGCCACGTAATCGATATGTTTTTGTTTCGCTCCCGGAAACGTAGCCCTCAAGAATCATATCGATATCCTTTGTTGCAAATTGTGGAACCGCGTGACTTTGTTTCGCTGTATTTTTTAGGTACGATGCAAACTTTACACGGGCGGCGTGAAAATTCATACAAGTTTTAAAATAATAACGTAGCCAGCGACAAGGTATCTGTCCGGATGTATGTGTGTGTCTCTCTCTATCTGTCTGTGCGTGTCTCTGTCTTTGCTCGCTCTCTCTTTCTGTGTGTGTGTGTGTGTGTGTGTGTGTCTCCGTATCTGGCACACGCACTTTGTCTGTGTGTCTCTGTGTGTCTCTCCCTCTGTCTGCGTGTATGTCTCTAAACCTCTCTTCTATGTGGTCTGTGTATCTCTCTCTCTCTCTCTCTCTGGGTGTCTCTGTGTCTCTCTCTTTCTGTATCTCTCTCTCCATCACGGTGTCTCTGGTTCTCTCGCTTTCTCGTCTCTGCATCTCTCTGCGTGTGTCTCTGTATCTTCCTCTCTGTCTGTGTGTGTGTGTGTGTGTGTGTCCGTATCTCTCTCACTCTGTCTCTCTGTGTTTCTCTCTGTGTCTCTGTTTGCGTCTCTCTCTCTCTGTATCTCTCCTGTATCACTTTGAAAGTGATTGACAGGTTTTGCTGATAACCAATGCCTTACACTGCTATTTTTCCCTCCGGATCAGACCAGCCAGGACTCTGGACAGACAGAGTAACTGTGTTTGCGGGAAGGATAAAATCCTTCCCCCCACCGGGCTGGACCACCAATTAGATCACCCTGCCGTAAACGCACAGCTAAAGAACATGGTACACTAAATAATTCATCCACTAAAAATGGAAACCAAAATAAACACAGAAATTAGTGCCTCGAGAAACCTCTAAATTATTGATCGCACGACAGTTTTTTTTGCTGTAGTGCCACACCCAATGAAAATCTTTTTGGCGATGGAAACACTGCCTGTAATACACCAGAATACATTAGAATATACAGCACAGAAACAGGCCATTCGGCCCAACTGGTCTATGCCGGTGTTTATGCTCCACATGAGCCTCCTCCTGCCCTTCCTCAACTAAACCTTCAAGCCTAATCTTCTATTCCTTTCTCCCTCATGTACCTCTCTTGCTTTCCCTTAAATACATCTGTGCTATTTGCCTCAACAACTTCTTGCGGTAGCATTTTCCACATTCCCACCACTTTACGTATGAAAAAAATTCTTTTAACTTCCCTATTTGTGACTATTTTGTATTGATGGCCCCTGGTTTTGGTCTCCCCCACAAGTGGAAACATCTTCCATATGTCTACCCTATTAAAACCTTTCATCATTTTAAAGACCTCTATCAGGTCACCCCTTACCCTCCTCTTTTTAAGAGAAGAGTCCAAATATGTTCAGCCTTTCCTGATAGGTATAACCTCTCAGTTCTGGGATCATCCTTGTGAATCTCCTTTGCCTTGTGAGTAGTCAGGTACAGCATAATATAAGCAGCTTCTGTGTGAGAACATGGCTGTTAATCTGGCTTTCAGTTTCTCTCCTGCGGATCTGAACTCCTCAACACCCTCCCAGGCTCTCCCTCAGACTCTCCAAACAAGTGCGCAACTTGGGCATCAGGTTCGATCCCCAGCTTTCCTTCCTACCCCACACCTGCTCCCCGACCAGGACTGTTTTTTNCCGGAACATACGGAAACCCATCACCGCCAAACCAGATACAGACATTATCTGCCTCCCTGGAAGTATCCCCACTGTTTATCTAATCCCGGAGAGTGTTAGGACCGGCTGGTGAGAGCCAAGGCTTGTAGACCCCACCAAGTCTGATTTGTCCCTCACTCCACCACCTGCTGCCTCCGCATGGCTGGCTCCGGCCTCCTGTCCATCCCTCGTCCCCTCCACCATCGGCGGCCGTGCTTTCAGCTACTTAGGAACTCTCTCCGCCAATCTCTCCGCCTTCCCCTCTCCCCCCCACTTTCTAATGCCACCTAAAGACTTTCCTTTTTGATGGTGCTTACGGTCACCTTCCCCCAACCCTACCCACCCCCCCCCCCACCCATCCCTCTCCCCCGTGGCTCTGGGTCAGATTCCGCCACTGTAAAGCGCTCCGAGACCCTTCTAAACGCAAGTTGTTGTTGTTGGACCGTGGGGGGGGGAAACGAACACTGAGTACTTACAAACTTCAGCAGGAACGTGTTCTCTCGCAGAGCCCCGATGCACCCTGCAAATCCCAGGATGAACATTACGCATCCGACCACCAGAAATAGCCAGACCGGATCAAACCCACCCAGATCCGTAATGGACGAGATATTGGACAACACTCCCTTTTGAAAAAGAAACACACACAAAAATCTCCTGTGAAGAAAAAATTCCAGTGACATCCCCGAAATGATCAGTTCTTTCTCCCAACGGAAATCCGCAAATCCACCCCTGAGGGAGTTACGTAGAGTTTACAGTACCCTGTGTCCTGCGGAGGCCCCTTCGAGGCATCTCGAAGACACGATAAGGCGCTATATCAAATGCAAGGATTATTATTGTTCGAATTTTCTGTTGAGTTACGGATTCTGAGGACAGTTTTTTACGTAAAAGGCACGAAAATAACAGAATACTGGTGGGGGGGGGGGTGGGGGGTGTGGGGGGGGGGTTCCGTCTGCATCACATTCCTAGAGAGGGTTTCAATGCTTCCAACTTGCCTTTCAGAGTGCTTCTGAGAACGTGCTTCGATTGCAGCAACTCGCGATTTACGGTACAGTATTGGCAGACACTGAAGATCTGCCCCATGTTAAGGGATACAGGGCAAAGGGCGAGTGATCTTATAGAACGGCGCAACAGGCTCGAGGGGCTGAATGTCCAACTCTCGTTCCTATGATAGTCCACAAGGGCCCCCGCCACGCACAGCAGCGACACAGCCAGACGGCAAAGTGGACATAGCCCCCATTGAGATCAGCTAACTCAGGGCAAACCAGTCTTTCTGCTGAGGAGCTCAGTACCACGCCAGACAGCGCAGCACCAGGCACAGTCCGAATGAACGCTTTCAGCTCTCTTTTGGCTCAATCGGTAACTGCACTGCAGGAACTGAGCTGCTCGGACCAGGAGAGTCCTAGGTTTGATCTGGTGATCTCTGTCAGAGAGCACTCGACGCGTTTCCAATGCCTCTTGATTTAAGGAGAGGGGGGAGGGGAGGGGATTCATTATACCCACTCCTGATCACCATACAGTGATGCTTGTTGAAAGGTGCGTGTGCGTGTGTGTGCATGTGTGTGTGTGTGTGTGTGTGTGTGTATGTGTGGGCGCGCGCACCAGGTCACAGATAACAGATTGGCTTTGCCAACACGTCGAGTTCCGTCAACGTAAAAGATGCATCTTCAAAAAAAAAAAAAAAAAAATGGCCTTAGCCTTTCTGAAGGTGGATTAAAAAGACACGAAAAAGTAATCTCCTCAAAGAGATGGAGCTTAGGGAGAACTCTCGGAACAGTCACCCTTATGACGGATGAGGTGAAGTGGCAACAAAAAGAATTCCTCAGCTCTGCCACCACTCCTGGCCGCGACCAAGGCAACCAGCAGTGCTGTTCTTTCCAAGACGCAAGCTCATAGTAAGTTGAAAGGGACACAGGCTTGCGAAGAGAGTGAATTTAATAATAATCCTTGCATTTGATGTAGCCCCTTATCACGGTCATTGAGACGTCTCAAAGCGCTTCACACAATGTACTGTAAAGTGAACTGAAGCCAATTGCGCGCAGCAATGTCCCATAAGTAATCGTGGATTGAGTGACCAATTGTTAATGGATTATTATCCCCGTTAAGAGATCCCCCAAATGACAGACCCATCGGGTTCCTACTTCCTGCTGGGTAAACTGAAACGTGTGGAGCAAGGAAACTTGTCTAAGGTTTTTCGCCCTGCCCCGGCAATCGAACCCGGGTCCTCTTGCTTGCGAGGCGAGCGCTCTAACAAATACGCTACAGGACTGCAAATTTAGTACTGAATATTGCTGGGTTTGTGTTTCCGATCTCCAACAGCGAGGCAGGAGGTAAACTGCTCTTTCACCCGAAATAAGTTATCATAAGGACACGTGGCAAAGTGCCCCACGCTTCGTGATACGAAATTTGAGTAAAAGAACATGAGCTTCGATTAAAAGAAATTCCTCTTGCCACTGGGCAAAAAACAACCTCCACCCCCCCCGGAAACCGCCCATTGTCAAAGAGGATTTTCTCACTCTCGTGTCTTATGTGAGTGAAAATTACTTGAGAGGTAAAGGGCAAGCGAGTGTTTCCACTGCTGCATTGGGCTTATCTCAGTGATATGTGAAGGGTGCCATTAAATAGACCTGCAGACAGGAGGGACCTCGGTATTTTAAATAAAATATGCACTCGCACTAACGGTGTAAAAGTGAGCACCATTTGCACTAGTGACGTTTGCAGCAGCAACTTGGGAGAGGCACATTCTGCCCTTATCAAACTCAGCATTCCTCTGTTCGTAACCCCGGCCACCGCCACTGACTGCCGGAGTTCGGCAATGCACAGAGTACCCTAGCATTCTGTTTTCCACATTTAAAGAAGCAGCGGTTTTATGTTAGGCCCTTTCGTGACAGAAATCCGCCCACAAATATGCAGTCAATTCACTTTACAGTGGCTTCTGTGAAGCGCTTTGGGACGTCCTCTCGACGTGAAAAGCGCTATATCAAATGCAAGGATTATTATTATTATTATTATTTACAGCTACTGCTGTTATTTTTTAAATTGCCTGCCAAGGCACGAGCTGCAGTCAAGACCGCCAAGGAACGAGAATTCTGTTCCGTTTTGAAAAGGAGTTACTGCAAAAGGATCCTTTTCGTTACAAGGACGGCTGAGAATTCAGCGAACACCCACAAGTGTTAAGCCTCGATCGGCTTGTTCTTTTCATTGTGCCTGTAGTGCACGTTGCATGAGGGGCAGACTGCTGGGCTCGGATTAATTGAGACTTGAGGGCATTTTCTACGCAAAGGAGGTCATTCGGCACATTATGTCTGTGCCACAGAGAGGGGCAGAGACCTGAGTCCTCAATTATGCGAGGGTTGGACTGTCAGTCCTGGATTATAATGGGGTTAGAGACTTCAATCCTTGATTATGACAGTTAAAGAGTTTCTGTCCCGGAGTTTAGAAGGACAGCATTAAGATCCTTAATCCTACTTGGGTCCTTGTAATAATTGTAGAAACCCGAAAGTTCAGGTTGGGAAAATTGAGATATTTATTATATTTTTATTTGCATTTGGCTGCTAAGCAGAAGTTAACGAATCTGACTGAGCAAAGCACTTTCACACATCAGTCTAAATAAATAGCAGCTGGTATTTAATGGCAATAACGACTTGAAGCCTGACGTAATGTGGCCACAGTGAAACAATAAGGGTTCTGCCTCCACTCTTCCCACACATTTCACAACAACCGAGATCACTTTGCGCCAGGCGGTCTCCCACTGACCCGTCCCTTCGATAGCCCTTTCCCCTGCTGCTGTCTCTTAAGAAGCAGTGTTAAATGTTCTCTGGATAATCAAGTCCCAAACAATGCATTAAATGACTTGAAATCGGAATTATTGAAGTCGTTACTGATCCGTGTTTCACTCACTATGTGTCTTATACTGAAAGGAGAGGGTGCGAAAGGGAGGGAGGGAGGAGTGTGATGTGAAAGATCCGAACAAGATCTTTCATCGTATTTGGTTCCTTGTGCAACCGGAGAAACCCGAGAGCTCAAGTCGGGAAGTCGACAGACAACGTGAGGCCAGGAGCTTAGTCACTGCTCGTCTCCCCTCAATCAATGGGGATCTGGCTCCTCCACAAGCCGGGATAATGATTCGAAGCTATTATTCACTGTAATTCAGTACTAGCTGAGTGGTGCGGAATTTATATGATACCCACCCTCACAAAAATAATACACTGATACGCACATAAATAACTGCACGTACACACTATACAAACGTATGAAAAAAAACTGCACATACATACACACACACTATACGCAGACTTTGAAAACTGCTCATACAAACGACACACACACAGTCACCCAGAGCGTACACGTGCAGAAAATTACACACACACAACATACAAAAAACCTATCTAATACACACACGCACAAAAATCATACAAAAAAACCTACACACACACGCACAATACATGCAACAAATCGATACCCAAACTATACACGCACCCACACAGAAAACTACACACGTACATGTAGAGTCACAGGATTCCATTTGATTTACCTTTTCACTCCACGCCCAGAGTCCCACGCCTAGAAAGGCGATTCCCAGCAACTGGAAAACACAAATAATATGGACAACGGTTGGTTCAATTGGATCACAATCATGCTCTGAAGGGCAGCTGGGGAACCAGCAACACGGGATGAGGCAGCTTTCTCAATCCCAGGCGTAAAACACATCCACGATGGTATTCCAATGCATCACACGGTTTATCACAATTGAGCAGCTGATAAGTATTAGTTTGGGCAAGTGCCACTCTACCGTGGTCCATTCCCACTCTTGAACCTGACACGTGGACACCATCTGCTCTATATGATACCGGTATGAGACTGTTGGCTCAGTAAGTTAATCTACACAGATAAGGACTTGGAGACAATCTCGTTGATTGTTCTTAAAATTTTAAACCACGATAAAGGTCATGCATCTCAAAAGTCTTGCACCCCAAGTGCTACAATTCCAAACTGAACATGAACCACTGAATGATGATCCAAAGAGATTTGGATGATGTTCCAGCGAAATCCAAACTCGAGTATGAGCAAGTGTCTTCAGGAGAGAATGAGAAAGGCCAATTTATTTTATTATTAAGAAGAATGATGTGCCCAACTACAACTAACAAGCACACAGCAGGTCAATCAGCAGACAAGAGAGATAGATTACAGGTTATAATAATAATAATAACCTTTTGCATTTGATACAGCGCCTTATCACGTCTTCGGGACGTCTCAAAATGCTTCACTGTAAAGTGAATTGACTGGATGTTTTGTGGGAAAAACACGGCAGCGTCCTGCAAGCAGTTGTGGATTGAGTGACCAATTTATTATTATTATTATTATTCTTTTTGAAGGGATTATTACAGTGTTCGTAACCCACTGCTAGAGGCATGTGGAGTAAGGAAATTTTCTTGACATTTCACCCTGCCTGGGAATCGAATCCAGGTCCTCTCGCTTGCGAGGAGAGTGCTCTAACCTATACGCTACAAGTCTCCACGTGCAGGATTAAGGTTCAACTTAATCGCAGGTTAAAGACCACCATCGGCGCTCAGGCCTTCAGACTTTCTAGCCCACCCTTCGGATCTCCATCCAATAGCCCCTTCGCCTCGCCCCCTCCCTTCAAGGTCCGACTCAACACCCTTCCCCTTCGACCTCGCCTTCGGTCACCCTCCTATCCCTATACCCTTCCCAACCCTCCAGATCCCAACCCCCAGCTTGGGTGTAAATCCTGGACTATCCAACACCTTGGGACATCCTCTCGGCATGAAAGGCTCTATCCCTTCCCTCTCCCTCTCCCCTTGGCTCGTTGTCAGGCTTCGCTACTGTGAAGCGCTGTGGGGCACTACCCCACATGAAAGACGCTATATAAACACAAGCTGTGGTTGTTGTCCACAAATGTAATTTGCGTTGTTGTTGGTGGTGGTGTTGTGGTTGTTAACGTTTCAAGCGTGAGCCTTCAGCTCTGATTGAAGGGCTCCACCTGAGCCAACGTCAGCCGGACTAGCTTCCTCTTTCACGTGCTGAGCAACTTGCCGGCCATCTCTAGCGTTCTGGTGTTATTTCAGATCGCCAGCAATCGGCAGATTTATTCTCTTCTCTCCGCTGAGCACAATGACCGATTCACTGCCGGGTCTCGCAATAGGTTTCAATGAGGCTTGAAATCACCTCTCACATTAAGCCCAGCAATCAGATTCCTCCCACCTCCCCTCCCCACATATACTATGTGGGGAACCATATGACAAGCAATACCTCCTTCCTGTTCAGCTCAGCATTCAGTTCCAGGCCCACAGTTTCCCACACCTCACCACATTGGAGAGGCTGGAGGCTGTGCGATTTTTGTTAGCAGTGAATTCAAAGAGGAACCTATAATTTTTTGTGTGCTTAAATGCGTGTTTTTGGCCACTACGCCCCAAAGCTCTGGAACCGTCTTCCTCAATCCCTTCCCTCCTCACTTTCAAATCCCGCAATAAAAGACCTTCTCTTTTGATCGTGCTTATGGTCACCTCCCAACTTCCTCTCCCCCTGGCTCGGGATCAGACCCCGCCACTGTAAAGCGCTCTGGGACGCTTTCCCACGTGAAGGGTGCTATGTGAATACAAGTCGTCATCATTAAATCAAGGCTATGAGAGTTCCCCTTGCTTTAAAATACAGCAATTGTCTACAGCCCATCAAATCCAGAGCATCTTTGCAGTTTGCCGAATAAAGCTACACAACTTCACAGCATAAAATACGACGCGTGCTAAATTATTTATATTAGAAGCACGCGCTTCTTTCAGCTGACGTATGACCCGCGAGCTCCTTCTGTGTCCTGCAGCGTCTCGCTGTGCCATCGCCTCTTTGTATCTGCTCTGCACCCAGTTCCCCGGCAGATCAATCCAGTCAGCAAAGCTTTATTTACTGCGCTCCGAGGTGTAGAACCGTAGGCACTCGTGAGCGAGCGACAAGGATTGAATCCTCCGGTTCAATCGCAAGTTAACCTCGTGGCTGTTCATGGGGCCTTTGCTGTGCAGAAATTGGCTGTTGCCCGAACGGCAATCACTACATTTGACAGTAATTAGTGTGAATTACTGTGAGACATTTTGGGATTATAGTCTTTATAAAATGCAAGTCTCTCTCTCTCACTCTCTGAACTTTACTCTTCGAGATTCAGACAACTACATAGCACAGAAGGAGGCCATTCGGCCCATCGTGTCTGCGCTGGCTCTTTGAAAAGAGCTATCCAATTCAATCCCACTCCCCCGTTCTCTCCCTATAGCCCTGCAAACTTGACCTCCCCAAATAATTATCTACTTCTCTCCTAAAAGTTATAATCGAAGCGGCTTCCACCACCCTTCCAGGCAATGCATTCCAGATCCGAACAACTCGCTGTGTGAAAAAAATTTCACCTCACCTCCCCTCTGCTTCCTTCAATAACTATTTTAAATCGGCGTCCTCGGGGTTACCGACCCACCCGCCAGTGGGACACAAGACCCACCAACCCACTCAGCAATGACCCACCAACCTGGAAAACATTTTTTTTCGTTACAACACCGTCTCTGAGATATTGGACCCAGACAAGAGCTTTGTAGCTGAGCGGCATTGTACAGTAACTCGTAAACCACCGTATTTAACATCTGTTAAGAATCCTTGCCTTTGATATAGCGCCTTATCACGTCATCGAGATGTCTCAAAGCGCTTCACAGGATGTACTGTAATTGTTTGGCTGTGTGCTTCGCAGGTGAAAATTACTAGAATTCATCGGAAGGTACAGAGTAAGTAACTATGGTTATAGATAAATATGAACTGATCAGGGAATGTCAGAATGGGTTTGTAAAACATAGATCTCACTGACTAAGCAAATGGAGTTCTTTGATCTATAACTGAGGTAATGAAGGAGGATTGATTAAAAATGGTTTATATGGATTTTCAGAAGCCCTTTGATAAAGTTCCACATGAGAGATAACAGCTACAATTAAGTGGATTAGAATATAAAAGCACATTAAAAGTTTATAGCATGGCTCAGACTTTTTTTTCCCCAGAATATTCTGCTCTTACGAAGGATTCAAGTGTTCAGTCATGGTTCACTAGAGTAATATTTGGGATGAAGGGATTTACCTCTAATGAGAAACTGGGCCATCCCTAGTGTAGAAGAGATTACACAGTAGGTAATAATAATAATCTTTGCATTTGATATAGCGCCTTATCACGTCATCGAGACGTCTCAAAGCGCTTCACAGAATATACTGTGAAGTGAATTGAATGTATATTTTGTGGCCGAAACGTAGCAGCCAATTGCGCACAGCAGTCGTGGATTGAGTAACTGCTTTTTTTTGTATTATTGCCCCAGGAAAGTAACCCGTCAATCGACTAATAACCGGGTTGTCCAAGGTTTCGCCCTGCCCGGGAATCGAACCCGGGTCCTCTCGCTTGCGAGACGAGTGCTCCGACCACTACGCTGCAGAACTCCACTACAGGTAACCTGACTGAGGTGTTTAAAACAAGGAACGGAATTTTCACAGCTTGATAGCGATTGACTCCTCAATCTGGCAGAGGAAATGGGAGACCTCGGGAGAGACATCTCCTCAAGAGCAGACCGAGACATGAGATCAGAAAACAGTTAAGTGTTGTGAGACTGAGCAATGGTGCACTGTCCCAGATGGCTTCGGAAGTAGGGGTACAGTGGAAGCCGGTTAAGCCGGACACATCGGGGCCAGCCGTTCTGTCCGTCTTAAGTGGCGTCCGAGGTCAACTGAAGTTCCATTACTTCTTCCCGCCCAGCAGAGGAGTGACGGAGAACCCTCCTTCCATCTGAATGACAAATATACAGTACACCGTGCGTTTTATAGGGTCAGCGACAATCGATACTTCTTCTCAAAAAGGGGTTAAGGATCAATTACTCCCTACCTAGGCTCGAAAGACACTTAGTGAACTGGGAGAGTCCGTAACCCGACGCTTCTCATCACCCAGACTGTAATGGGATATACCAGCTGAAAGCGACTGTAGGTCACTTCCAATCAGGCTCCGGGTACGTTCAAACCCAACCGCAGGGAAATTAATACATTGACCTAATTGCTGGTAGGTTGCACATTTTTTTGTCTATTTTTTTTTAAAAAAAAGCAAGATTGTCTCACGAAGAAGATACAAACTGCGATCCCTGACCACAGCTAAAGAGGACAGTCGTACTACAGGTTGCTGCGGCTGCAGTGCTCCGGAGTAACTGTGTACCTTGTACTCAGCAACAGCGTACAGCGCAAGGGTTGCAATTTGAACCTGGACTAAAACAGACCCCGGTCAACGTAAGCTTCTCGTTGCAAGCGTGGCTCTCGGGAAGTGTTTTGTTACACACACAGGACAGTATCCGAACAGACATCACCAGTGCCTCCAAACCATCCTAACCCGCCCATCCTAATCCCCCTCCCTATTCCCTTCTCCCTCGCGCGTGAATCATGAACGACACGCAGCGGGAAAGCTTGCCAGACAGTCATATCGATGGCAAGCTGTGCGGTTTTTGCTGGCTCCAATCCAGCAGTCACCCCCGACAAACACTCTCGGGTTCCCAAGGCTTGGCTCTTATCTAATAATTTC